AGCTCCTCGTCACGCGTCCACGCACGCACCGGCTCCTCCGGTGCTCGGCAACGGACGGCAACAGCGAGAGCGGGACGAGCAGCAACAAGGCGGCGACGGTGGTTCGGCGGCAATGGCGCGGTGGGTGTGAGGACTGAGGCGAGTGAAACGAGAGAGGAAGGGGTTTTGGGTGGCTTGGTTTTGTAGCGGAGGCGAGGTCGGTTTGGGGAGGGGAGAACTGACCTTGGCGGTCAAGTGCTCGGCTGGCGGTAGCGGCGGTTTCGTGGGCGGTGCGAAAGCGGCGACGGCGTGGATGCGTTGAGTGGCGAAGGCGGTGGATCAAGCGGCGGAAATCGAACCGCTAGAGCGCGGGCTGGCGCGGTCGGTCAAGCGGCGCAGAGGTGGTGACACCGGCAGTGATCGGGAAAGGGAAAAAGAAGGGGAAAAAGGGGCTTGGTCCCTTGCCATAATGAGGAGAGGGAGAGTGAGGAGGAGGAGGAGAGGGAGAGCAGCTGCTTTTCCCACTCTTGGACGGGTGCGGCGTGGAGTGGCGGGGGCCATGGATGACGTCGACGATGACGGCGGCGGTCGGTTTGGCATGGAGCGGGGGCAAGGCGGCAGCGCGTGGCGTCGACGGTGCAAGGGCTGATGGCGGCGGCGACCGGGCGGCAAGCGCGCGCGCGGGAAGGGCGACCGGCGAATTCAAACGGCGGCGGCGGGAATCGGCGCCGAGGAGAGGAGTTCGACGAGAGAGAGAGAGAGGAAGAAGACGAGAGAGCGAGAGAAACAGAGAGAGCGAGCGACGGCTCTCTCTCTCGGCTCGCATGCGTGCAACACACGTGCGAGGGGGGGAGATGATGGGCTGGGAGGGGAGATGGGCCGGGGAGGAGAATCGGTCCATCCAAAAACACAGGGAGGTAAAGTAGACTTTTATAGGGAATTTGAGTTGGAGGGATTTGGGACTTGGGTTTAAATTTCAAATTTGAGATTCGATCTCGGGGGTTTAAGGAGGAATCAAGGGAGACTCAAGGAAAGGATTCGAGATGGGAATTTGATATTTTCGGAAATGGGGATAGGTATTTGGCGGGGATTCAAAGGATGCGATTGAATTTCGGAGTTTGATTTCGGAGACTTGAGTCGGAATTGGAATCTTGAGGTGGACGATTTTGATGGCGATGAGAGGGAACAACAAGAGATTGAATTGAGATCCTTGGCACAACTTAGACTCGCATACAAAGAACGAAATTTTCGCAATTAGGATTTTGCCGAATTAGTTTTTAACGTCTCACGAGAAGCGGAGCGTTACAGAGCACCCGATCCGGCTCCCCCCGCACCGGTCGCCCGAGTTAGAGCATTCCCGATAGTACTGCACTTCTAATTTGGTAGCCGCCTTGTGAAGAAATAGCAAGTCTTTTTGGCGAATGCGTAAAAGGATTGCACGTCAACATATTAGGAGGAAAAGAGTTTTTTTTTTGTTACACAACGCAATTTGCTACACTGGCTTATGCCAAGGGAGGAGGGGGAGAAAAGGCAAAATAAAAAATCTGAAGCTAGGAAAATACTAAGACGGTTAAAAAAGCAACTCCAAACAGCGGGAGGGGACAGAGCCACACTACACTCCCAAGAAATAAATCCCCAAAAACAGCAACGCCAGCTAAAGACCACAGCTAACTCTCCGAGCGGATGGATTCCATAACCACTGGGATCGAAGCGAGCGCAGAGTCGAAAACCCCGAAGTTTTGTTCCTTCCACAGCTGCCAAGAAACTAGGAATAACAAGAAGTCAAAGCCGATGCGGAAGAAATAGCAAGTCCACCAATAGGAGATTTTTGCAAACCAAAATCAAGTACCTAGCTTTAGCAAGGACTTCGAAAAATATGATACAAAATCATGCACATCCTCAGCTATATATCCCGGACGATGACCTATTTATTTGGTCATAAGTTTTTTTTAAGAATTACACAGTATACTCTTTCGTCCATGAAATATATTACTATATAATTTGTAGTGGTCTTTATTGCCCACCCCACTAAGGCGGTGTTCGGGAGGAGGTGTGGGTTGGAAACCCTTCTCCCGGCACACAAAACGAAGCATGTATTATTGCATGATTAATTAAGTATTAATATTTTTTAAAAAAATAAATTAATATTATTTTTTTAAAACAACTTTCGTATAGAAATTTTTTATAAAAAACACACCATTTAATAATTTATAAATCGTGCACGTGAAGATAGAGATAAGTTGGAAAAATTGAGGGAAGAATACAGGCTAAGACTTCCACGTCTGGACCTGATATTTATACCAAATTCTACGGAGTAGGTAGTAATGGTTACAGTTGGTTCCTACCTCTGAAACTTTCTGCTATATATTAAAAACATAGGAATGTTATATTGAAATAAGTACTAATAATAAAGGTGTCTACTTGGTTAAGAAACTATCTGTAAAAAGCAAAACATTCTACCCAAACAATGAAATGTTGTTTCTCTACTTCATAGTAAAATTTTAGTACTCCATACTAACTGTCTAATCAAACAACTAAGCAATTTGTGGAGACATCTTCGGTCTCGTGATATATATGTCGGTTCAGCCTTTCGAAATTGTTCATAAGGATAGAATATGTGTGTATATTTATAGAGGTAAGTGCATCATGAGCGTTTGTGATTGTACTATTTTGAGAAACATAAAAAAAAGGAAAAGTTTTCTACAACAACAAATACAAAGTACAAGTCAATTACATATTTTCGTCAGACACATCCAAACAAAATCTAATCTCAATGTGTGGTCCCTTCCTAACCGGGATGGGAAAGCAACACGAAATCGCATCACCAGTTGTTCTCCAGTCTCCTTGCGCGGTGACCAAGACGATTTTAGGACTCCTAGCATGCGCTCGGTCGAATTTTTTCATTACGTATATTTCTCTCTTTTAAAAATCTCATGTTTTATTGTGCTCCATCTAAATAGTTCTCTATATCTTTGATCGGAATTGCTAGAAAACTTGCGACAGTTTTCTTCACTGTCAAATTTTCAGCCCTTAGATCCGCTTGAAGATTCGTGCGTGCAACAAGATAAAAAACAGCATATAATGTGTCCTGGACAGGAATCGATCCTTGGCCTTGCTCATACATAAGGCAGCATTCAAACCACTAAGCCAGCACAACTTCATGTTTTTTAATCTACTTATATAGCATTTACACTCTAGTTACATATTAGTTACACGCTAGTTATATACTAGTTACATAGTACTTATACCCTAGTTATACAGTAGTTACATGATAGTTACAGGGTAGTTACATTTGTATAAAATTAGTATTTGTAATTTTTTTCAAGAGCATGTGTTTTACTTTTGAATTATTTTTCCATTATATATGTTGACCAATTTCTTACCGTTCAATCAACTTGGATGCTAAGATTAGTGGTTTGTACTTGTGTGTACCCATTTCAACTGTTGATGACAAATCATATGGTTAAAAATTTGAAAGTTTTGAGCCTTAAAAACTGTCGACAGATTACTAGCTAGTTCCATCTTTTATTTCTTACGATTTAAGGTATGATACTCCCTCCGGGCTGATAATACTTGTCGTTTTAGATAAGAGTGATGTCAAACTTTAGAATCTTTGATTATGAATCATTTTAAAAATATTTGTCTTTCAAATATGGTGACTACATGTATAGATTAGTCTTAAAAAGTACTTTAATAAAATTATATATTTGTTAACACTTTTATACATATTATTATGAAAAATAATGGTCAAAGTTAATTTTTAGAGACCGTGCCCTTGTCTAAAACGACAAGTATTATTAACCTGGAGGGAGTAACATTTAAATACTACACATTTAGTTTTGGGTTTCAAGAATATTGTATTTTAAAAAGCCTTAGATCAAGAATGGTCCATAAATGTCCGCGTGGAGAAAGTTCACGTGGGCGTGCGCTTATTAGCTTTTACTACACCTAAGGAGGTGCATTTGCTGCATGCCTCGACGGCATTACGACGTATACTCCCTTCCGTCCCATAAATCCCAATCTAGAATGAGTTATACTTCAGTGCTCTTCACTAATAGTACTATCTATACAGATTAGTTATACTAGATAATATCTCATCCCATTATAGATTAGGTTTTTCATAAGACGGAGAGAGAAGATCAATGATTCACTGTTTACTCGGCTTCTTCGCTGTGACACTTGCGTTACCAGAGAACTAGTAGGTAGTAGCATCATAGTACGATTTCCGTATAAGACAATCACCATGTGGTCTCTGTGTAGCTGTTTTTTTCTCTCATGTAGTACAGACTGCACAGTACTAGTACTATACGTGGATCGAGATGGATAATTAGATTGATTGATTGGCCGATAGCCCAGCGAAAGAAAAACAAATCGTGCCATCTACACTTCTACAGTAACTGTGAGCAGAACCAGATATGATTATGACTCTGATATAGTGATATATCTCACCCAATAGAAACAGTTACTCGTGGTCGACCACCAGCGTAACTTAATTTATTACTTATTTTTTTCATTCGAAAGAAACTCAATCTACGATAAAATATAACAGAAAAACGAATCTAGACAAACTATGGGAGTGGTACATCGTATCTGCGCTAGCGTACGCATACATCAGCTTGTTAACACTTGTTGATCACCTAGTGTTAAGCTACTGTCGCTTGACACGTATTCCCTCTAAAAAAACAATCTAGATGAAGATAGGACACCACCTGAATTTGTCCAGAATCGTTGTCCTAAGTGGTGTCACATCCTCACTTAAATTAGTTTTTTTAGGATGAAGGAAGTACACTATACTTGCCATGTGAGGCTGCTAATACTACTCAGTGCTCACTAACAATTCTTAATGTTTCTACCCTCCGGTTCCATCTTAATGTTTTGGACAAGTAAACGCTAAAATAATATTATATTTGTCTTACAAAGTACTATAATAAAATTTTATTTATTATATATATTATTTTTTAAAAAATAATGGAACCGGATGAGGTATAATTTATTAGGTCACCGGATCAAGCCACACCCCCAGCCCCCAGGCCCCAACCCCGAGGCTATAAGCTGCAAGTACGTGCAGTTGCCGCCTCTAGCCACACCCTCTTGCAGCCTCCACAGAAAGCCATAGTAGCATCACAACTTCACAAGGTAGAAGAAGAGGAGAAGGGAGATCGGCAAATATGGCTAAGGGTCACGTCCTCGTGCTGCCGATGCCATGCCAGGGCCACGTCATCCCGTTCATGGAGCTCTCCCACCGCCTCGCCGACGAGGGCTTCGAGGTCACCTTCGTCAACACGGAGGTGGACCACGCGCTGGTGGTGGCCGCGCTGCCGCCGGGCGGCGCCGCGGAGCTCCGGCAGCGGCGGATCCACCTCGCCGCCATCCCCGACGGCCTCGCCGGCGACGAGGACCGCAAGGACCTCAACAAGCTCATCGACGCCTACTCGCGCCACATGCCGGGACACCTGGAGCGGCTCATCGGGGAGATCGAGGCCGGCGCCGGCGGCGGGAGGCCCAAGGTGCGGTGGCTCGTCGGCGACGTGAACATGGGGTGGTCGTTCGCCGTCGCCAGGAGGCTCGGCATCCGCGTCGTCTCCTTCTGGGCGGCGTCCACGGCGTGCCTCGCCATCATGCTCAAGATCCCCAAGCTAATCGAGGATGGCGTCCTCAACGAGAAGGGTAAGCATGTAGTTTAAATTAATTAATCTCAACTTGGGTTTTGCTTTATTGACTGTAGCGTGGTTAGTCGTAAAATTTATTCTTTAATTTCGTTGGTTTTTCACTTGGGTGTTTGTTGACTAGCCACCGATCTTTGAGGCGGCTAACACAAAACGACAAGCTGGTACACTAGGAAAGTTTTATCTACGACCTGAGTTTTCTTTTTTTTTACTCAGATAAAATAAAAGTATAAATATATAGGATGATTTTATTAATCTACAGCTCCGCTAAAATGATGGCCAATTTATTGAATGGTAAAAGAAAAAAATATATCCTAGCAAATAATTTCATAAATACTCCCTCTGTATTGTAATATAGCAATCTAGAACCGAACAAGACATTTCATGGCACAACGAATCTGGATATGTATCTCTTCAGATTCGTTGTAATATGTGAAATGTCTCATCCGATCTTAGATTGTTATATTATAGGATGGAGAGATTACTATGATATCAATAGTGAAAAAAAAACTTTGGCTAACAATTATCATGTATTTTGAGAGTACAGTATAATACTAATACTACTGCATCATTCTGTACGGTGGAGTCTCATTCCTCTCCTCTTGTGGTGATTTGATTATTAGACTACTGTAACACCTTCTCGGATGTGGCGAGTGGTGTTTGGTGTCGGTTTGTTAAGGATAGATTTTGAACGATCTCGGCTATAATCCCTTTGTTGATTTAGCGGCGGTCGGTCCGCTGTTAGCCTTTTTTCGGGTACGTACATTGGCACAGTGGTTATATGGGTAGTGTTATTTTTTTTTCTCGCTTTTTCTGTTTACAATCTTCTAGAGTTATATAAATTTTGCATTGTCCGGTGTGAATCGCTCGGGAAAAAAAGATATATATTTCTTTCTTTCCTTTTTATAAATTGGTATTCCGTACATATGCAGATTTATTTGTAATTCTGAATTTTTTTTCTAGCACACAGATCAAGCAACTTCTTTATTATAAGTTTGACAGTGTTTAACTGAGGAAAAGAATCAACAATTAGGACCAACTTGTAGCGATTCCTGGTATCTCACGAGCAGGCACGTGTGATCGTTCGCAGGGTGGCCGGAGCGGCAGGAGACGCTGCAGCTGGCGCCGGGGATGCCGCCGCTGCACACGTCGCTGCTGTCGTGGAACAACTCCGGCGCGGCGGAAGGGCAGCACATCATCTTCGACCTCGTCTGCCGGAACAACAAGTTCAACGACGACCTCGCCGAGATGACCGTCTGCAACTCCTTCCACGAGGCCGAGCCCGCCGTCTTCAAGCTCTTCCCGGACCTCCTCCCCATCGGCCCGCTCGTCGCCGACCGCGAGCTCCGCCGTCCCGTCGGCCACTTCTTGCCGGAGGACGCCGGCTGCCTGGACTGGCTCGACGCGCAGCCCGACGGCTCCGTCGTGTACGTGGCCTTCGGCAGCCTGGCCATCTTCGACGCGAGGCAGTTCCAGGAGCTCGCCGTGGGGCTGGAGCTCACCGGCCGGCCGTTCCTCTGGGTTGTCCGGCCGGACTTCACCCCTGGCCTGAGCACGGCGTGGCTGGACGCCTTCCGGCGCCGCGTCGCCGGCAGGGGCGTGATCGTCGAGTGGTGCTCGCAGCAGCGCGTGCTGGCGCACGCCGCCGTGGCGTGCTTCGTGTCGCACTGTGGGTGGAACTCGACGCTGGAAGGGGTGCGCAACGGCGTGCCGTTCCTGTGCTGGCCGTACTTCTGCGACCAGTTCCTCGACCGGAGCTACATCACCGCCGTGTGGCGCACCGGGCTCGCCGTGGCGGCCGGCGAGGAGGACGGCGTCGTGACGAGGGACGAGGTGAGGAGCAAGGTGGAGCAGGTCGTCGGCGACGGCGAGATCAGGGAGAGGGCGCGGCTGCTCAGGGACACGGCGCGCGCCTGCGTCAGTGAGGGTGGCTCGTCGCACAAGAATTTCAGGAAATTTATTGACCTCCTAAGTGAGTGACACTGCAACCGATCGACTGAAATATACCTAAATTAATGTATGTACAAGCTGAAACTGAATGGGATCGACTCCAAACTTACCTGCATCGTTGAATCCGCTTTGATGCAAACTTAGATACTACATATTAATTTCCACAACAACTTGTGGTGCTCAAAGCCATCCTTGATTCCTTCTCCGAGGCCACTGGGCTAAAAATTGATTTCCACAAGAGCACATTCCTCCCTATATTTCTTGCACGATGAGGCGGTTCAGTTGGCTGGGATTCTCGGTTGCCCGATAGCTTCCTTCCCCCAACCTTATTTAGGCCTCCCTCTCTCTTTTACCAAGCTATGTCTCGCGGACTTCCAACCGCTCATCACTAGGATTGACAAACGTCTTGCCGGTTGGCGCGGTCACCTTCTGTCTTCTGATGGACGGCTCGCTCTCATCAATTCGGTGCTCGGCCCTCCCTTCCTATATGATGGGAGCCATCCTTCTCCCTAAAAGTGTGGTTGCCGCCATTGACAAGTGCCGAAGAGCTTTCTTCTGGACAGGGGATAAACACTGTCACGGCAGCAACTGCAAAATCGCGTGGGACATAGTCTGTTGTCCGAAAGAAAAAGGTGGTGCTGGGATAAAATATCTAAGTCCAGAATAGATGTGTTCTCCAGAAATTTCTCCTCAAAATGCATGAAGGTTGCACGGCCGCAGCACACTGGACTCTGGCCGCATATGTCGCAAGCATAAATATATTGTATATGCTTAAATTTTGCTTTTATAAATAAATGATCTATTTTTAACTAATTATTTAATAGAAACAACAAATAGTTAGACAACTTGATAAGAGTTATATCCGATTTTTAATTTACTCAAACTTTTAATTCTAATTAGACAACTAAATAGTTTAAGATCCATTTTACATATATATTAATGATAAAAAATAAAATACTTTACATGGAAACCGAATAAATTCCAGGTTTTCATTCGCTTGAATACTTATTTTATATATAATTAAAGTAGTGAATGAGGATCTATGTAGTCTAAATAATAAAATTTAACAAACATACAAAGCCACCATGTGTCACATTTTAGAGCGCTACAAATTCACCACGTGTCAAGTTGTAAGAACTAAAAATAATATAAATTCAAATGAAAACTAAAACATCCGACGATCGGTTTTCCCACAAATCAATGTCGTATTAATATTATTTTCAACCTTAAAATTTACTTTTAGAAAAAATCCTAAGTCACATCATATCACATCCTAAAACTAAAAAAAAGTAGAATTCTTAGAAAACATATCTAATCATCAGCTTTCACTTAAGTCGTTTAGAAAAAAAAATAGAAAAATAAAGTCGCTTCCATCTTCCCCCTCACATGCGCCCAACACTACCCACTCCTTCCCTCTCTAGCTCAAGCGCTACAGTATTCATTCCTCTCACCCTCACTAATTTTTCTCTATCAAACTAAAAGAAAAACAAACAAGAGTTATAAGCTACATGCCTCATGTCTATTTTAATTATTGCTCTATTTATAATCAAACCAATGTTATAAGATCCGTATGACTATATTTTGCGATATAAGAAATATGACATTTGGACACAGTCGTGCATGACATCAAAATAGCAATAAAATACTAAAAAAAGATCAACAAATATTATGTCATTTTACATTAGTCTAAAAAATGTATAGCTAAACTGAATCAATAGTATCCAATCCAAAATGATAAAATATTTTCATTGATGGACAACACCCATGCCCTTTTACATGTCACCTAGATGATAAAATACTATTAAATAATTAAATAACACATGTTGCACTATCATATACTTCCTCCGTCTCAAAATATAATAAATTTTAGCCCTCGGGATTTGTCCCAAAATATAACAATTTCTCCATCAACATTCTCTTCCCAACTAATCACAACCCTCCACCATTTACTTTTCCCACCTACCTCCACTATTCATCCAATCACAACCATCCATCATCCACTTCTACATACTTTCTTAATAACCGTGTCTAACTCTAAAATTTCTTATATTATGGGACGGATGGAGTATTGTTTTGCAAACATGCAATACTAAATTAGTTACACAAAACCAGAGAAATAGATAGCTCATATATGAATAGTCCAGGCCACTGCATAAAAAATTCGTGCAGAAGATATGGGGATTTTTTTTTCACACAATTGCAATAGAAATTAATTGGAGACAAACAGTTCAATTCAATATCTCATGCATTATACATTCATACATAAGTGGATGAATTGAATGCTTTGTAAACAAGCATTGATGTTACATCAGTGTGACATTCAGATTCGATCATACGGCTGCTGCAGCTGGCCAACTCCAACAAGGGTCTTCTTCCTCCTCTGCTTCTCTCTGTTCCATGTGAGAACTTCTCCCATGAGAGACCTCCGAGCAAACCGTCGCCACCTTCCTGTTCCAATCATGAAGAGGATTCCATTTTGCTAATCCAAGAAGATCCAATAACTGTCATACATTCGCATCAACCAACGTCGCAGTTTAGCTTTTCTTCCTGTTTCTTTGGTTTGTTCTTGTGCGGGCTAGCTGCGATGTAAGTTAGTATAGATCACCATTTCACCAACACCACATCATCTCGCTGTCTCGAAACCCTAGCATCATCCAAAAGCTCGTTTGATGATATTTGCATTGCACGCACCAATTGCAGTCGACTCCGATCGCACCAATCGAAATTGAGCTTAGCCCAACCGTGGCGAGGTGGCGTCCAGCGAACCAACGTGATACATGGGGAAGTAGAGAAACAGTACTGTCCAGCCGCTGGACGAACACCTCGGCAGTGATAGGACGATGGATGTGAAGCAGCAGCAGCAGCGGGACAGGAGCTCACCGGCGACGCCATGAGATGAGAAGAGAGAAGGAGAAGTGGAGTGAGATGTGTGAGAGAATGGGACGGAGATGGTAGAATGCTTGGAAATCAGGTGTATCCTCGTTTAGAATCAGCAGGAAAGGAACTGAAACCGACTCTCGGATTGTGTAACGACTAACGAATCGGAGTCGGAGTCCGAGATCGGGCCAGTGTATCAGCGCCGTACTCACTCGCTCCCGCCGCTACGAGCCACCTCCCATTCCCTCTGGCCGCTGCTCGCGTCCTCGTGTCCCTCCCGGCCACACACAGCCCCACCTCCTCTCCACTCCCGCGCTCGCCGCCGCCGCCGCCATCACCTGCTTTGACTTCGCCGCTCGAGTCTGTGGACTCTGGGCGCTCGCTACTCGCGCTGTTCCAAAGGTACGGGAGGCGACGCGTTCCGGCCCGACGCCCTGCCGTTCAGTGCGCTGCTGCTCGGTTTCAAGGAGGCCAGGCACAACAACGTCCAGGCGCCGAAAGCCGTATCGTACTGCGTGAGGATGGACGTCTACGGTAAAGGAGGGTGATTCTTGGACGCCCTTGAACTGCTCGACATAATGCATACCAGGAAGAAGTGCAGGTGTTGTTCACCATGCAGGAACTTGGAGCTGGGATTCTGAGGAACCTTTACATGTCATATGAATTGACATAAAAATTACAAAATTTTCACTTAAATTGGAATAGCCATTGCAATAACCACTACATATTTTATTAAGTGCTTATATGTTAATGACTTTACTCTATCCTATGCCATGGTATTGTGAATTTCTCAACAAACTATTGCATACATAAGGCACAATAAGAAGATAGCAGTACATAGTTGGTTTAAAAGTTATGTTTGTTACATTTAAATGTGAATATTAAATTAAATTTTTAGGACTCATATTGATTAGGTTAATTTTTAAGAAAAGACACCATGGAGCACACATAATGTATGTATGTAAAAAAATACATCGATAGGAACCAAATAAAAGGAGGGCTAGCTTGACGGTACAATTGAAACACATTTCTAGCTATTGCAGTTTCTAAATTTTGTTAGAAAAAAGTTAACCCATAAGGGCATCTATAATCAGAGCCACTCCTAGAGTGCCCTCACTAACTGAGGGTACTTTAGGGGTACTCACCTCTATAATGCAGGAGCCCAACGAGTGTCCCAACCCAAAAAAAACTCCTCTCTCTCCTCTTCCTCTCTTTCCTATTCTACCCATCTCTTCCATCTCTCTCTCTCTTTCTCCACCGGGTGCACGCGACCTTCCCTCCTCTCTCTCTCCAGCGCTCTCTCTCCTGCCGACGCTCTCTCCCTCCATCTCCCGCCACCGACTACGCCACGCTCCCTCTGCCCGTCGCCGGCTACGTGCGGCGGCGGCGGCGACCCCGAAGGCGACAGATCCGGCGCTGCCGTGGCCGGATCTGGCCCTTCGGCGGATGGAGCGGCGCCGGCCGCGCCGCATCGAGGAGGAGACGGTGACGGTGCAGGTGGTGGCCACATCGACGATGGCGCCGTCGCTTTCTTCATCGCACTCACCGTTGCCGATGATGATGGCGTCGGCGCCTTCTTCACCGCGCGCCAATGCCGTGGGATTGCCCGACGACCTTAACCACAGCGACATTGCCGGGTACATGCCCTCGGAGCTTGGGCTGCTCGCCGACCTCGCACTGCTCTACCTCAACTCCAACCGCTTCCGCGCCTCCTCCCGCTAGTCGTCGCCGGCGGTGGCGGGCGCGGCGCCGACGGTGGAGGGCGGGGAGGACGGCGCGGCGCTCCAACTCCGACCGGCAAGCGGCGCACAGATCCGGTCGTCGCCGTCGTCGATCCGTTGTCACCTCTTTCTCCTTTCTCTCTCGTCGCTGCTTTTTACGGGTGGTGGAAGGGGAAAAACCGGGGCTCAGAGCAGTGTCCTTGGGCTACTCCCCCACCCAGCACGCCTCCTCCATCGCTCCCTCGGCCGAGGCGCTCGAAGAGCCGCGTCTCTCTGATGGGGGCACGGCTATGCTGGGGCACGGCGCGGCATGAAAAAGGGACGGTGTGAGCTAGGGACACGGTCTGAGGCTACGCATTGGTGATGGCCTAAGCATTCAATTCGGAAAAAAAAAACACCATACTATTAAATTACATTTAATTTGTTACATATGTCTTCTAAACAAACTTAGACTACCTATGACGAAGATTATAGATAATTGCTTATGGGGATTAATTAAATATTGACGTTATAAAGCTAACTAATAGGATAGAAAAAATATCTAAGCAACGCTGAGAAAAATTTATGATGAAATGGTATTATGTGGTAAATATGCTGCCTTATAAGATATGAAACGCAGGCTATGATGCATGCCCGCGCATTTCTACTTTCCTAGTTTTCCTAACAAGTCTAGCTAGCATTTTAGCTCGTTAGAGATAACGAGTCAGCTCAAGCCTTAACGAGCTAGTTGCATAGAACAGTAATCAACAGGCCAGGAGGTAGCAACCCAACTTAGCGACGGCCAGGCCCAAAGAAACTGACTTCTTGCAGCAGCCCAAGGCCTACTAGTACTTCTATCCATCCACACACCAGATCTGAGACAGATATCTCCAATATAGATATTTTCTCGTCAGATTCGATCGAAGAGAGACGTGATGCAGATCACTGGCATTCTCGGCTCTGAACTTCTTTTAATGATCCTAATTCTTTTAGCATCTCTACGGTGCTTTCTATTTAGGCATTTTTGACTTTTACATAATAAGGTCTGATTAGATCGATTGCGCATACGAGACCGCCTATGCAGCCCCTCTCCACCGGCACCACCGTATGCCATCCTCACCGATGATCCGGATATCTGGATACACCGGCCGCTGACTTTGTTAATGACGGGGATTTATTCACATCATTTCTGCTATCCTAAATCTCGATTTTGATTTCTACCACATGGCAGCTAACGAACTGGCAGCAAGTAACTTTTGAGATTTGATTGTGTTTTAATTTTTTTTTAATGGGTGTTTATGATTTAATTAATTTGTTATACTCACCAAGTAACTCCTATGTAACAAATATTGAAGGTAAGCTAGGAAGGACATTTGAGTTTTCAACTGATGCCTTCTGATCGTCACCGCAGTAGAGAACACCGTAGAAGAGCTCAATTTTTTTACGTTCTCGAATTGTTCAAAATAATTGTTAGTTTTTACTTTTGAGTTATCAAATTTTAATCGCAATACTAGTAGATTTCTAATGAAAATTACTTACCAAATTATTCTTTTAGTGGTAGGTGATATATCCGTGATAGCGATACGTTTATAATGACTTTGTAAGTCTTAAAATATATTGGTCCAATTTTGAATGTGCTCGTAAAGATTGGTGTATACTTGCGTGGGCTTGCTTGCGGTTCGGACAACGGAAGGAAAACAATAATCCGACTGCACCGTGGATCAACCGATCAGAGGAGCTACGGAGTTAATTGATATGGACTTATGGCACTAGCTAACAATGGACAGCGTACCAAAAATTGGACAAAATCATCCTCATTTTTTTTAATACTAGAAAAGATACACGTGCGTTGCAACAGATGAATGTTATTTTAATCTTATTATTGTTATACGGTTTGGCTAGGGTGAAATTCACAGAGAGAATTCACTAGGATATTTTTTTTTCTAGAAAATCATGAGATGTAATTAGGAGTCTGACATTCATCTCAAGTTACTATGCAAGTTTTTTTAAAAAAAATTTCTTATACGACTCTTTTATATTTTCAAAAGCAAACGAACTTAAAATCCGACTCAAATACGGATGTATATTTCTAAAAGCGAACAAATTTAAAAACCGACTCAAACATGGATGACATACCAAAATACCAGCAAAAACATCTTCAATTTTTATAATAGTAGAGATAAAGATACAGTTTAATTAAGGAAAAATTCACTATGTTAATTTGCTTGGATATATATATTTTTTAGAAAATCATAAGCTACAATTAGGAGTCCAATCATCTCAAGTTAACATGCGAGTTTTTTAAAAGAGATTTCTTATACGATTCCTTATGTATTTTCAAAAGCGAATAAATTGAAAACTTACTCAAATACGTATATGTATTTCCAAAAGCGAACGGAGTTAAAAATCAACTCATACACGGATGACGTACCAAAGTATCGACAAAAACATCTTCAATTTTTATAGTAGTAGGGATTTGAGACTTTTTTATATTTATATAAAAATTTTGAATATAACAAATGGTCAAACTTGTAGAAAAATTCAACGTGGCACATATTAAAAAAAAGAAGAGGGTATATCACATGGAGTATTATTGTATTAATCTACTCCCTCCGTTTCAGATTATAAGACGTTTTAATTTTGGTCAAAGTTAAACTGTTTCAAATTTAACTAAGTTTATAGATAAATATGGTATAATATTCGACTAATCACTAGGTAGTCCCGTGAGACGCAACGGACGAAGGGGCTGTTTGGTTGCTTCCCAAACATTGCCACACTATAGTTAGTCAAGTTTGACTTTTTGGTGTAAATGTTTGGTTGAAGCCAAAGATTTAGCATGCCACACTTTTCTACTCTCATGGCCCACATGTCATACACTCACTTATTAACAAAAATTTGCCACAAGTGTGGCTCTCTTTTTTGTGCCATAGAAACTATGGCATACCACACTTGTGGCATAGAAGTTTGGTAAAGTGAGTAATCCATCCAATCAGCCTCTAACTTCTAATGAGATCCAAGAACCGTGTGAGATTCCGGCGCGACGACCCGCCGTCGCCGACGGCGAGACTGGCAGCGTCCCGCAGCACGATCGCCCTTGCCTTCGTCTCCTGGTCGCCGATCAGCTCCTCCACCTTGCGCCGTATCAGTTGCCTCGCCACGAGCCGTGCCGACGCTTCGTCGGCCGGCGCCGTCGCCGGCGCCGGCGCGGCCATTCTCAGCCCCGTCCTCCACACGTCGCAGATGTAGCTCTGGTTGAGGAACTGGTCGGCGAAGTACGGCCAGCACAGGAACGGCACGCCGTTGCTGACGCCTTCCACGACGGAGTTCCAGCCGCAGTGGGAGACGAAGCACGCCGTGGACGCGTGCGCCAGCACGCGCCGCTGCGGGCACCAGCCCACGACGCGGCCGCGCGGCGCGGCGCGGCGGCGGAGCCCGTCGAGGCACCGCTCGCTCGCGGTGCCCGGCCTCACCACCCACAGGAACGGCCGGGAGGTCAGCGCGAGCCCCTCGGCGAGCTCGGCGAGCTGCGCGGCGCCGAGGGCGGCGATGCTGCCGAACGCGACGTACACGACGGAGCCCGCCGGCTGCGCGTCGAGCCACGCCGCGCACGAGGCGTCCTCGGGCCAGAAGCCACCGACCGGCTTGCCGCCGGAGGCCAGCGGGCCGACGGGGAGCACGCGGCCCGGGACGTCGACGGCGAAGGCACCCGACTCGAGCTCCTCGAAGGAGTTGCAGGCGATGGCCTCGGCGAGGTGCGTGGCCGCGTTGTTCCGGAGGATCAGCCGGAAGATGGCCGGCTGGCCCCTGGGGTCGCCGGCGCGGTTCCACGAGAACTCCGCCGTGTCGACGGGCGGCATCGCCGGAGCAAGCCGGAACGCGCCGCGCCACCGCGGCATGCCGCTCTCGTCAAGAACGCCATCCCTCACCAGCTCAGGGATCCTAATCCTCGTCACGAACATCGCCGCCGACGAAGGGCAGAAGCCGGCGACGCGGAGGCCGAGCTTCTTCGCCACGGGAAACGCCCACGCCATGTTCACGTCGGCGACCATCCATGTCACCTCCCTCCCGCCTCCGCCCGCCGCCGACGCACTGGCGTTGATCCTCCCGACGAGCTTCTCCAGCTCGCTGGGCATGGCCAACAAGAGCGACTCGGTGAGCCGGCCGAGATCGCTCCGGTCGTCGCCATGGCCCAGCCCATCCGATATGGACACCATGTCGACGCCTCCAAGCTCGCCGCCATGGCTGGCATCATCCAAGGCGCCAAGAATGCGGCCATGGTTGACCTCGGTGTTAACGAAGGTCACCTTGACGCCATGCTCGACGAGGCAGTGGGCGAGCTCCATTAGAGGGATGACGTGGCCCTGGGCCGGGAAGGGCAAGGCCAACACGTGAGACTCACCATTGGCCATGGCGGCTTCTCACGACGGACGTGCGCTAGAAGCATGTGGGTTTTGGCAAGAGCGCCGGCCGGCGAGGCGACATGGATTGAGATCCTGTGTCTTGAAAAACATCATACTTTTGTGACTTATATGTAGGTCCGATAAACCATAGGTTTATATATCAGTGACAAAGACATGTTTTGAAGGTACAGGATACTGAATCGAGGCGACATGGGGTGGATGGCAACGACGACCATACGTTTATTCTCCGGTTAGTTTCAACTTGAGATTTTTCACAATAATCCACTAAATACGCAAAACAAAGATAAACTTTCAAGGCAATAAGGCTGAGCCAATCATTATCTGTAACGTCACCGTATCCATCAACATATCTTAAGTTTTGGCAGCACGCGTAGGAAATGAATTCTGAATTCTTTATTTTCTTTAATCATAAAAAGGGTACTCCATGGGATATAATCCCTCTATTTTCTTTACTAACATGTAACGCGGTTTTTTTTTTAATGTGTTTAACCATTCGATCTATTCAATATTTTTTATATTGTATTGTACTTCCTCGGCTAAAAAAGGCGCAATCCTAATTTCACTATTTTCATATTTAAATTCAGGATTTGGTTCTTAAAAACCATAACTAATATTCTTTTTGGGGTCTATTTCTTTTTTCTTGTTTGACTGGGCTAACTCTGTTCGTGAATACTCATGAGGTTCAATCAAGAGTATATTAACCTTAAGACCAGCAACATTAAAGCAAACAAGACAATTAATTTTGAAGTTATTTCCTCTGTTTAATATTCTGCTATTTCCTCTATTTAATATTATAATTTGTTTTGGTTATTCCATAATTAAATGTTTTTAAGTTTGACTAAGTTTATAAAAATAATAATAATAATAATATTTTGAACACAAAACAAATATACTATCAAAATTTATTCGATGTTGTAAGTAATAAAACTAATTTGGTGTGGTTTATGTTGTTTATTTTTTCTATAAACTTGTTGACACAAAATTACGCCACAACACACGAATGGTTGGGAGATCTGCTTAACTCCAGAGAAGGTCTTAAATTTGGATTTAGGGTTCAAGGCATGCCATTTAGTTTGATCATGCAAGTAACAAGATAGATATAAATACAGTATATGGTAAATTGTTTTGATTTTGCATCAATGCGGATACAGTAATGCAGGTAAGTATGGAGTTCTGCTTGTACAAACAGGAAGTACAGTATTAATTTGGACGCATATCAGTCGATCGGTTGCAGTGTCACTCACTTAGGAGGTCAATAAATTTCCTGAAATTCTTGTGCGACGAGCCACCCTCACTGACGCAGGCGCGCGCCGTGTCCCTGAGCAGCCGCGCCCTCTCCCTGATCTCGCCGTCGCCGACGACCTGCTCCACCTTGCTCCTCACCTCGTCCCTCGTCACGACGCCGTCCTCCTCGCCGGCCGCCACGGCGAGCCCGGTGCGCCACACGGCGGTGATGTAGCTCCGGTCGAGGAACTGGTCGCAGAAGTACGGCCAGCACAGGAACGGCACGCCGTTGCGCACCCCTTCCAGCGTCGAGTTCCACCCGCAGTGCGACACGAAGCACGCCACGGCGGCGTGCGCCAGCACGCGCTGCTGCGAGCACCACTCGACGATCACGCCCCTGCCGGCGACGCGGCACCGGAAGGCGTCCAGCCACGCCGTGCTCAGGCCAGGGGTGAAGTCCGGCCGGACAACCCACAGGAACGGCCGGCCGGTGAGCTCCAGCCCCACGGCGAGCTCCTGGAACTGCCTCGCGTCGAAGATGGCCATGCTGCCGAAGGCCACGTACACGACGGAGCCGTCGGGCTGCGCGTCGAGCCAGTCCAGGCAGCCGGCGTCCTCCGGCAAGAAGTGGCCGACGGGGCGGCGGAGCTCGCGGTCGGCGACGAGCGGGCCGATGGGGAGGAGGTCCGGGAAGAGCTTGAAGACGGCGGGCTCGGCCTCGTGGAAGGAGTTGCAGATGGTCATCTCGGCGAGGTCGTCGTTGAACTTGTTGTTCCGGCAGACGAGGTCGAAGATGATGTGCTGCCCTTCCGCCGCGCCGGCGTTGTTCCACGACAGCAGCGACGTGTGCAGCGGCGGCATCCCCGGCGCCAGCTGCAGCGTCTCCTGCCGCTCCGGCCACCCTGCAAGTGTAAAATGTTCGATCGCGCACGTGAGAAAAATCTCTACAAGTTGGCAATTTCAATTCACATCTACATGTCAGTACTAATTGTTGATTGTTTATTATTAATCTCTGTCAAATTAATAATAAAAAGTTACTCTGTTAAGAAAACACTAACTTTTACACGTAAATCTACCTATAATTTATATACGTGTCTACAATAAGACAGTTCTATGTATTGATATAACCAGCTAACTCAATCTCATATCTAGTTACTACTAGTACACTCAAAAGTGCATGTATTGATTCTCAAAAAAAAAGTGCATGTATTATTTTTCTTATGGAATTTTCTCTTAAATTATTCATCTGATTTACGATCCGATTTTTATAAAGTAAAAAATAACCAAGCAATAATTATGTTCGACTTTTAAAAATCCTAATGTCAATAAAGGGAAGAGACAATAGACGGGCCGGGCCATAGATAAGTATAGTGGTAGCGTTTGATGAGAGTTCTAAAAATTAGAAAAACCAAACCTAATAAGACAATAAACTCTAAAAACTACATGATCCAATTCTTAAATGTTCTAAGGAGAATAAATAAATATGGGTGACTTTTAAAAACTAGAAAAATAGAGAATAGAAACATGGCTATAAACACGGATGATAAAGTTTAATCTTTCAAAATCTTAAAATAACGATATAACTATTTAAAAATTTTTAAGTAAAATCATATTAGAAATAGATAATGTTATATGGATACTAACCGTGTAATTGTGCGGACCACTCAGCTAGTTTTTTTAACCAGAGAGATTTATGAGTGGTTAGTCAATAAACACCCAAATGAAAAACCAACGAAAAGAATACATTTTACGACTAATTAACCACGCTACAGTCAATAAAGCAAAACGCAAGTTGGGATTAATTAATTTAAATTACACATACCCTTCTCGTTGAGGACGCCGTCCTCGATCAGCTTGGGGATCTTGCGCATGAAGGCGATGCACGCCGTGGACGCCGGCGAGAAGTAGACGACGCGGATGCCGAGCCTCCTGGCGACGGCGAACGACCACCCCATGTTGACGTCTCCGACGAGCCACCGCACCTTGGGCCTCCCGCCGCCGGCCTCGATCTCCCCGATGAGCCGCTCAAAGTGGCCCGGCATGTGGCGCGAGTAGGCGTCGATGAGCTTGTTGAGGTCCTTGCGGTCCTCGTCTTCGGCGAGGCCGTCGGGGATGGCGGTGAGGTGGATCCCCCGCTGCCGGAGCTCCGCGGCGCCGCCCGGCGGCAGCGCGGCCACCACCAGCGCGTGGTCCACCTCCGTGTTGACGAAGGTGACCTCGAAGCCCTCGTCGGCGAGGCGGTGGGAGAGCTCCATGAACGGGATGACGTGGCCCTGGCATGGCATCGGGAGCACGAGGACGTGACCCTTAGCCATCGTCTACCTTGTGATGCTAGAGAAGCAGAGAGTGTGTGGCTAGAGGCCGCAACAGAACGTACCTGCAGCTTATAGCCTTGGGGATGTGGCCGAGGGATTTTTTTTTATTTTAACAACAAACAATTTCTAAAACTTATTTCTAAAATCTAAACTTTTTAACCACGTGGCAAAATAACAGCGACACATCATATATTACGGATGTAACAATTTTTATCTTACCACGTTGGTTAAATCGGCATGGTCAAATAATATCCCACACTAACCAAAGGACGTGAAAGTGTTGTGACGTGAAAGAGTTGTTTGGCCATGTGAGTCAGCTGCAGTGGAAGACGAAGCACGCCGTGGACGCTGCTGCGGGCACCAGCTCCGACGCGGCGGCTTAGCCCGTCGAGGCACAGCTCGCTCACGGTGCCCGGCCGGCCTCACCACCCACAGGAATGGGCGGGAGGTCAGCAAGAGCCTGCCGGAGCAAGCCGGAACGCGCGGCGCCACCTCGTCAGGCCGCTCTCGTCAAGAACGCCTCCCTCACCAGCTCAGGGATCCTAATCCTCGTCATGGACATCGCCACCGACGAAGGGCAGAAGCAGCCGACGGCGACGCGGAGGCCGAGCTTCTCTTCTTCGCCACGGGAAACGCCCACGCCATGTTCACGTCGGCGACCATCCATGTCACCTCCCTCCCGCCTCCGCCCGCCACCGACGCGCTGGCGTTGATCCTCCCGACGAGCTTCACCAGCTCGCCACCATGGTTGACATCATCCAAGGCGGCTTCTCTCACGACGGACGTGGAAATATGTGGATTTTGGCCAGAGCGCCGGGGTGGATGGCAACGGCGACCATACGTTTCTCTGGTTAGTTCCAAGGCAGTAAAGGCTGAGCCAATCATAATACGTAACGTCACCATGCTTGATACATCAACATATCTTGAAGTTTTGGCAGCATATGCGTGGGAAATGAATTCTGTTTTTTTTTTTGAAAAATTTTAACGAGATACTCAGGTTATAAAATGTTTCGACTTTAATCAAAGTTAAACTGTTTTAAGTTTGACCAAGTTTGTACAAAAAAGTAGTAACATTTTTAACCCAAGACAAATTTATTAATATTATTATTAAAATATATTCAATTATTGATTTGATAAAACTAATTTACAGCACAATAGCAAATCCGCTTAGATATCTCCGTTTCAGGTTATAAAATGTTTCGACTTTAGTCAAAGTTAAATTGTTTTAAGTTTGATTAAGTTTGTAAAAAAAGTAGTAATATTTTCAACCCAAGACAAATTTATTATTATTATTAAAATATATTTATTTATTGATTTGATGAAACTAATTTACGGCACAATAGCAAATCCGCTCAGAATGTTGAGCTCCCCAACACGGACGAGCTCGACGAACTGCAAGACAACACGTCGAGAAGCAAGACACTATTTGAGTGATCTTGTCTGTGCGTAAAAGAACTTTGCAACTGCTGCTGCCTTCAGAAATGGCACATTATTGTAAAAGAGATTGATGAAGTTATGTGTCCTTCCATAATTTCTGAAAAAAACTCAGCACCTGTTGGAAATACTGGTAAGCCTTTCTTTCCATTTCCTAATAATTCCTACTCCTACATGGCTATATACTACTCCGGATTTTGAGTTTTTCTTACAACGTTTGACCACTCGTCTTATTCAAAATTTTTTAAAATTATTAATTATTTTATTTGTGACTTGCTTTATTATCTACAGTATTTTAAGCTCAACTTTTCGTTTTTTATATTTGCAAAAAAAAAAATTGAATAAGACAAGTGGTCAAAAGTTAAAAAAAAACTAAAAATCCCTTATATTGTGAGACGGAGGGAGTAGTAGCTTCGTAGCCTCTGTTTTTTTTTTTTTTTGGCAGCCATGTGATGGGAAGCCGGCAATTCTACACGGCCATTTGGCTGTCACTCGAAACAACACATTTTCAACATCAAGCTGTACCAGAAAAAAGAAAGCAGATGTCTACAGGTCCAACAGGCAGTACAAAAAAGGTGATGCATGCATCACGATCCGATGCAACAGCGCCGACTGTATCGCCTTTCTAGGCATCTAAGCACATCCAGATCCACATAGACTGAATGGCAACTGACAACTTTCTTGTATAAATCACACCCAACTCAAAAAGTTCTTGCAGTGAAGTCACACACTAGCACGCTCCATTGGCATCCATGGCGGCTCCTCCTCCTCCTCGTCCTCAGCCTCATGTCATGGTGCTTCCCTTCCCTGCGCAAGGCCATGTCATGCCTCTGATGGAGCTCTCTCACCGGCTCGTCGGCCTCGGCTTCGAGGTCGAATTCGTGCACACCGACTTCAACCGCGACCGCGTCATCAACGCCATGGCGAACGAGACGGGGGCGATCCCTGATGGGATCCACATGGTGTCCTTCCCGGACGGCATGGACCCTGCCGGTGACCGTGCCAACATCGCCAAGCTGGGTGACGGCTTGCCGGCCGCCATGCTCGGCGGCATCGAGGAGATGATCAGATCGGAGGGGATCAGGTGGGTGATCGCCGATGTGTCCATGGCCTGGGTGACGGAGCTGGCCGCCACGGTGGGTGTCCACGTCGCCTTGTTCTCGACTTACTCCGCCGCCGTTGTGGCGCACAGGCTGCAAGTCCCCAAGCTGATCCAGGATGGCGTCCTGGACGAAATTGGTAAGAACACATCAGTAATCATCCATGAACAGCAAATGCAAAATCATGAATTCTGCCTCTTACAATTACAAATGTCGTATTGGAGTTGTTTGTTGTATTACTCATGTGGTTAATTGAGATCAAGAACATATAATCATTTCAGGGAATGTGAGGAGAAACGAGATGATCCAATTGAGACCCACGATGCCGCCCGTTCTAGCAGTCGAGCTCCCCTGGGTTACCCTGAGCGGCACGCCGGACGGGCGCAGGATGGTCATCCAGAACGTGTTCAAGACCAACCCGACAATATCCTCGGCCGAGGTCATCATCTGCAACACGTTCCAGGACATCGAGCCGGGGGCGCTGGCCCTCGTCCCCAACGTGCTGCCGGTTGGACCGCTCGAAGCGCCGGCGACGTCGAGGTTAGCCGGCCATTTCTGGCCGGAGGACACGACCTGCCTGGCATGGCTCGACGAACAGGACGCCTGCTCCGTCGTCTACGTGGCGTTTGGGAGCTTCACCGTCTTCGACATGGCGCGGGTCCAAGAGCTCGCCGATGGGCTAGTGCTTTCTGGCCGGCCATTCCTGTGGGTGATCAGGCAAAACTTCACCAATGGTGCCGGCGAAGGCTGGCTGGAGGAGTTCAGGCACCGTGTCAGCGGCAAGGGAATGATCGTCGGTTGGGCTCCCCAGCAGAGCGTGCTCTCGCACCCGTCGATCGCATGCTTCGTGTCGCACTGCGGGTGGAACTCGACGATGGAAGGGCTCCGGCATGGTGTGCCGTTTCTGTGCTGGCCGTACTTCGCCGACCAGTACTGCAACCAGAGCTACATATGCAATGTGTGGGGGACTGGAGTGAAGCTCCAGGCGGATGAGCGAGGGGTTGTCACCAAGGAGGAGATCAAGAACAAGGTCGAGCAGCTGGTTGACGACAAGGAGATCAAGGCGAGGGCAGCAAAGTGGAAGCATGCGGCATGCACAAGCATAGCAGAGGGAGGGTCCTCCCATGAAAACTTGCTGAAGTTTGTGAATTTGCTAAGAGAACAGTAGTGTCTAAGATTGTCAAAATTGTTCTGAAAATTGAAAGGTCAGAATTAATCATTGAGGTGCTTTGGCAAATTCATGGGACTGGAAGTATACCTTCTCTTTTTTTTTTCTGAAAAGTGTAATAGATGAATCACCAGTGCTACTGCTAAATGTAATGCAATATAATAAAAACTACTACCTCTGTTTTCAAATATAAGCATTTCAGGCTATGCAATGTATAGCCAGAAATGCTTATATTTGCAAACGGATAAATACTGTTTTTCAGATGGCCAACTGACAGGTATTGAAAGTGACAGCCAACAACTTCAGAAAACGACTTTTTAGTTCTCAGACATCAATCTGGTACCTTAAACACTCCAGCTAGGAATCGTGTGATATTATTAGCAAATAAATGTCGAATGCTGCCATTTATACCAAGCCATGTAGGGCTGAGTTCATTTTTTTTATTAGAAATGGAACCCAATTCTAGAACTGAAGATGGGAATCAAGTTCAGCCAAAGTTTTAAGTAGAGACAACTCGTCTATGGTGGACCAAGGGACAGCTTTATAGATCAGAAACATGTGGAGGAGCATGCGGGTATACATATAGATCAACATGCATATTTTAGACTCAGCAGCATATTCCATGATAAAACTGCTCCTCTTGCAGTAACAAATTGGGTAATGCATAGGTGAATAACTTACCTGAACAAATGCAGCACCAAAGAAAACTGGTGGGATTTTTGCACTCGCTCTCAAATGTGACCACTTTATACCTAGTAAATTACCTAAAATGTCACCTTTCAGCTGGCAGTCTGGAGTATCATGGCGAATCAAAATTGCCGAGATTGTTCAACGAGGTCGATGCCACGTCATGTGAATAATCTGTTAGCATACCGTCCATAAAAGCCTAGGTGAATAACAAGCCACTATTATTATTTTTGCAGGTGAAAAATTTGCAGTAGTTCTCAATATCAACATATGAGACTACAGACTACTTCCTCCGTTTCACAATGTAAATCATTCTAGCATTTTCCACATTCATATTGATGTTAATGAATCTAGATAGATATATATGTCTAGATTCATTAACATCAATATGAATGTGGGAAATGCTAGAATGACTTACATTGTGAAACGGAGGGAGTGCCAATCAAAACCCAGATGTACCCATCAACAGCCAACAGAAGATAACCATACATGAAATAACTAGGTAAGCATGAATTTCATAAGTGCTGAAAAATGTGTACCTTCATGGCAGTATGGCTCCATCGCAGGATGCACCATTCCTGAGAAAATTATCAAGTACCAACATTCAGTTTTGGAAAGTATAGGATCAGAACAATTTTTAATAAGTTGCTCTGAAGTACTAAAGAAACAATATAAGACCAGTTTGAAATTCATCTTTTTTTTTCCAGATGAATTATATGATCCTTGCCTTTTAGTATACCTAGCTAAATTTCAGAAAGAACTTTATATTTTTGAAAAAGAAATTTTGGAAAGAACTTCATGCCTTGTTATTATGGGATAGCAATTTTTTGGACCTACACTAATCTAGTGAAGCTCTTTATGCATAATGGGTAGGCCAAGCTAGTAGAAACTCAATAACAGGAATCTGTCACATGCTCACATGTGTATAAGCCTAAAAGATATGGAAGTGTGGTAGTCATTTCATAAACAGGACATGGCCACATCTAGGCTGCAGCAATCAAAAGCAGATCCCGTGCAACACCCCTTTGCTTAGTACATGTTGGCTATTTTGCTTGACCTAACATGACAGAGACACCAACTTGGTCCGCAAGTTTGGTAATTTATTTAATAAGTTATAGTTATATGAATGGTCATTAGATAACCTTTTCTACGAAAGGGAGAAACAGATAGTCAACATATTACATGTTTGCTGATGAAATAGGAATGGCCAGGTGACCCTTGGCGTACACAGCTGTTGAACATATCAGGCTATATATATCCTCAGGAAGTTCCAGTTTTACACCTCACAAGCTTCTTGTAGACATAGACAATTCTAAGAAGACAACTTCCATGGCCGCTGCTACTCAACCTCATGTCATGGTGCTACCGTTCCCTGCACAAGGCCATGTCATCCCACTCATGGAGTTATCTCATAGGCTTGCTGATCAAGGCTTCAAGATTGACTTCGTAAACACTGAGTTCAACCACGACCGTGTCCTCAAGGCCTTGGCAGAGAAAGGAGCAATCCCTGGTGGAATTCGCATGCTCTCCATTCCAGATGGATTGGACCCTGCTGATGACCACACAGACATCGGCAAGTTGGTTCAGGTCTTACCAGACGCTATGCTCAGCCCCCTGGAGAAGATGATTAGATCCGAAAAGATAAAGTGGGTAATAGTAGATGTATCCATGAGCTGGGCACTAGAACTGGCTACCACAATGGGTGTCCGTATTGCCTTGTTCTCAACTTACTCCGCAGCTATCTTTGCACTCAGGATGAACCTTCCTAAACTGATAGAGGATGGTATTCTTGATGAAACTGGTAAGGACAACTAAATCACCTGCAACAAAGTAATTTCTGTGTCACATGCTTATTTACTTCATATGGTTTAACCAGCCAAACACATGCAAAATATGCAGGGAATGTAAAGAAGCATGAGATGGTCCAACTGATGCCACCTATTGATGCAGCCGAGATCCCTTGGGTCAGCCTTGGCAGCACCCAAGAAAGACGGAGATATAACATCCAAAATGTCTTTAAGACCAACCGACTAATGGCACTTGCTGAAATGATCATCTGCAACACTTTCAGGGAGATAGAATCCGAAGCATTGGAACTCCTCTCAAATGCACTGCCTGTCGGCCCACTTTTAGCACCTGCTTCGGGGCCAACAGGCCATTTCTTGCCTGAAGACATGACTTGCCTCACCTGGCTCGACACACAGGCCCCCGGCTCCGTTATCTATGTGGCCTTTGGGAGCTCCACCATCTTTGACATAGCTCAGTTCCATGAGCTTGCTAACGGGCTTGCCGTCTCTGACCAACCATTTCTGTGGGTTGTCCGACCTAACTTTACCAATGGAATCCAAGAAGATTGGTTCAATGAATATAAAGACCGTATCAAGGGCAAGGGGTTGGTTATTAGCTGGGCTCCCCAGCAACGAGTACTATCACACCCTTCAATCGCTTGCTTCATGTCGCACTGTGGGTGGAACTCAACAATGGAAGGTGTACTGCACGGTGTCCCGTTCTTATGCTGGCCTTATTTTTCCGACCAATTCTGCAACCAGAGCTACATATGCAATGTGTGGAAGACAGGCATTAAGCTTTTCCGAGACAAGCAAGGGGTTGTCACACAGGAGGAGATCAAGAACAAGGCGGCGCAGCTCCTAGAAGACAAGGAGATCAAAGAAAGAGCGGTGACACTGAAGACCACGGCCCGTGCAAGCATCCAAGAGGGAGGGTCCTCGCACCAGAACTTTCTCGAGCTTGTCAATTTGCTGAGAGAACAATGATCTTTCAGGATGCAGAAAAAATCACTGCAGTCTTGGTGCAGTCAAAATAGGATTAATCGGTCAATAAAATAAACCGAATGCACACCATAATAAAGATTCCGTTGTTTGATGTACACTGTTGTTTATGAGCCTATCGTTCAACATAGAAAGTAGTATTGGATTATGAGCTGTTTAGTACCATCATCAGAATGGGCTAGCGACCACTGGAAGCATAAAATTGACTCTATTAAGCGGGGTTCCCAATCCCTCCGAAGTGGCAGGAGAAAATCACAAGGGGCAAATGCGAGTTTGGTAATAAAACAGGGCACTACGCATTCCGTCGACAAAGGGTTTGCCGATGCACTAGAGGTGTTCGACGGAATGCCCAACGGCGGACTCCGGCGACGGAACGCAGCACACACCACACAGAAACTGTCCCCGATGGCCGCCCTACCGTAAGAAAAAAACGAGCGCGAAGCGGGAGCTCACCAAGATATCCTTGCCGTTCTCGCGACCGCGCGGCGGCTCCACCCGCGGCGCGACCGATATGCCCCCCCGCCCGCGCGCGGCACGGGGTTTGAGCGAGGCGGCTGGCTCGCCTCCTCCTCCTCCTCCTCCTCGAAGCCTCGGGCTCCCCGGCCGGCGTCCACCCAGGCAGCGCCCCCAACTCCCCGGGACTCCGCCGCCCCCCGCCGCGGGGCAGCATCAGCGAAGAGTTCAGCAACGCAGCGGCAAGGCAAATCTGGAACTGAACTTCTGTGCTTGTACGGCCGGTCGCTCGCCTCCTGTAGTCCTGTGCTGGTAGCTGGATTCGTTTCCGTTTGGGAAAGTTGGGCCGGGTAGATTTAAGTTGGGCTTTCAAATTTCATTTGTGTTCTTCGGATAGTAAACGGAATAAATTCACCCGAGGTTCGTTAACTTAACAGCGAGATTTTTTGAGGTCCCTTAACCATAAAAACCATAAATGTGTACCCCTAAACTTCCACAAACCGTGCACTCAAGATGCTATGTTAGCATATATGGATGGTTTCACTGATGTGGCATCCTAGTCAGCAAAAAAAAAATTAAAAAAATACATGGGCCCACAAATCAGCTACACTTTTTTTTTCTCTTTTCTTCTCATTCTCTTCTCTTTTCTCTCTTCTCTCTTTCTCTTCTTCTGTGAGGGACGGGCGCGGCGGCCGGCGCGCGGGGAAGAAGCGTGAGAGAGACGGTCGGCGTCGAAGAAGGGGAGAGAGGTGGCCGGCGCCTGCCTCTCCCCATCCGGAGCCGCGGCGGGTGAGCGAGCGAGCGGCGACCTCGCTGTCGCCGGCATCCGCGCACCTCCTCAGCGCGACACCGGCGGAGGAGGCGGCCGGCGCCAGAGAAGAGGAGGCAGGCGCCCGGCACCTGCCTCTCCCCATCCGAAGCCACGGCGGGTGAGCGGCGACCTCGCTGTCACCAGCCATGCCGCCTCCACGGCCGCGCACCTTCTCGGCGCTACCCGGCGGAGGATGCGGAGGAGCGTGACCGGGGGTGGTCGCGTGCGTCGATGGGAGCGTCGGGAGAGGACTCGGCAGCGAGCGGGAGGATAGGCAGGGAAGGGTCGAGCGGGATGGACGACGACGATGCAGGGCTCTCGGCGCCTTGCTTGACATCGATCTCCATGCAGCTGTGGGCGGCTGCGGTCGCCGCCCGCCGCAGGCTCCGCTCTTCGTCGCTCCGCCTGCTTGCTTGCCCGTCGTCACCACCCGCCACCTGCTCCACTCTCCATCGCTTCGCTTGCCTGCTTGTCCGCCGCCGGCACTCGCAGCCACGCTCGTCCACCGCTGCCCGTCCTGCCTCCTGCCTGCTTCGCAGCTGCCGCTCGCCTGTCGCCGACTCCGCTCTCCGCTGCCGTCGCGGTGACTGCTGCAACTTTCTCCTCTATGGCAAGTGGAAGAAGAGAAGAAGAAGAAAATAGAAAGGAAGAGGATGATGCTGACAAGTGGGCCCTTCCTATTTCCTTCTCACTTATATGTGGTCCCACATATTATTATTGTTTTTATTTTTTGCTGACTAGGATGCCACGTCAGCAAAAACAGACGTCTATACTGCTTAGGGACTTTTTTGTACGGTTTTACATAGTTGAGGGGTAAATATTTCTGGTTTTGCAGTCAAGGGACCTCAAAAAAATCTCACTGCTAAGTTGAGGGACCTGGCGTGAACTTATTCCATAGGAAATTGGGGCCGTGTTGCCGGTGCTGTGTACGGAGGGAAGTAAAAGGCCTGCAATAGCAGCGTTGGTCGTTCGACTGGGCTGTATACCCTCCCTAAGTTTAATTTTTATTATTAGTAGTTTTATTATAATTAAATAATAAAATATGAATAGTATTTTATGTGTTATTTTTTTATTGTTTTCAAAAATTTATTAATAGAGGGACGGTCAAATGTTAAATAGAAAACTCATAAATAAATTTATTTTAGGATGGAGAGTGTACCTGATACGTATATGTTAAGATAATCCAATAAGAAACCACCAGGTCCAAACATCTATGTGAATGAAGAATTAGCCGAGCCGACGTGTCTGCAACTGTAAGCATGTAGCAAATTTGTTACCAACATTTTGGCACAATTTGACATCACCATATTTTGGTAGCGTTGGACGTAATTTGTTTGATTTAGAGCCTTACCAAAATTTTATGAAGTTTTTATAAGAGGAAACCTTCAGAATTATAAGTTTTAATAGGGTGACCAAGATAGCATTATGTTTAGTTTGGTACTTCCTCCGTTCTATAATATAAGAGATTTTAGAGAGATATGATATATTATAAAACTATAAATCTGAACAGGCACTTTACAAGTCGAAACAAAGTGAACATGAAAGAAATCTGTCAATCTGTGGCTACGATATCAGCAGCTCCGTGGCAGTACATACACGACTTCCAAACGCTCACTCAAACAGTGCGGCAGAACGTGGAATCCGCAATCCCGCACGCACCCACCGCCACCGCACCGCCGCAAGGAAGCCCCCGCCTCACCGGCCGCGGCAACGCATTCACCGTCGTTGGCTTGGCTACCACTCGCGCGCCGAATCCGGAATCCAGCACACGGCCACACGCGCGACTCCGAAACCGCAAAACCACAAGTCAATGCACCGGCCTCGTCGTCCCCGGTTGCTTCGGAGCAGGGGCGCTGCGCCAGCACGCTACTGTAAAAGAAAAAAAAAAGTACTACTGCTCCGGTGCTCCCTACTCCTGTTCGTTCCAGCTCATTCACTCGACGCGTCCCGCGCCGCCGTCTCGATCGCGGCAATATGGAAAACGATTTGCCACGCCTTCGTCTGTGCCGGGGCGCCGATGCGGTCGCGGTCGTGGACTCACGATGGCGTGCTCGCCTGCAACGACCGTTCGGTTGGCGCTCTCTCTCCCGCGAGTGATCGACGCGCGCGCCGACGGCGTCCGCTGACTCTGAGGCTTCTTCCCACATGTGTGCGTCCGCGAGGAATCGTATGATATATTGTATTCGGGTATTCCTGCCGGTGTCGCCTTGTTCCGTTGTTCGCATTCGCGTTCGCTAGCACGAATTTGGTTTTGTGTACAGATGGTATGTATCAATGTATGCTATTTTTTCTCTCAAAAGATTGGCACACGATGACCGGAAGAATGTGTTCTCCCGTACAGGAACTTGAATTACACGGTACGGTACGTATAATGCACGTGCTCCAGTTCAGACTTGAGAAGAAACGGACCCTGCGGTGCAAAAGGAGAAGGGCGCCCTATTTTTATCCCCGGCAAAATTTTACACCTTGTCATATCGAATATCTGGACACATGTATAGAGTATTAAATATAGACGAAAAAATAACTAATTACACATATTACGTGTAAATTGCGAGATAAATCTTTTAAACCTATTTGCGCAATGATTTGATAATATGGTGTTACAGTAAACATTTGCTAATAACGGATTAATTAGGCTTAATAAATTCGTGTTGCGGTTTACAGGCGAATTCTATAATTTATTTTTTTATTAGACTACGTTTAATACTTCAAATGTGTATCCGTATATCCGATGTGACACGTTAAAACTTTTCACCTCCGAATCTAATCTTTTTGGTTTCAACAGTTCCAGCTTTTGATCGTGGCTGCTCCAGCCTCTCTCCAAGGGTACAAAAGAACCTGAACTTTTCTGTGCGGCTAGAATGATGATTTTTCATCACCTCCGTGTTAGGTGAGCCTGGCTGCCCACATGTTCCCTATAGCAGATTGCAATGTGCCCAAAGTAGACAAGCCATGTTGGCAATCATTTATTCACAAGAGAATAAAGGAGAAAAAATAAAATAAAATTCACCAAATGACAGTATAGGTTGTTGGTGCATGCCATTTTCTCTGCTCCCTCTAAGCCTAACTGAACATTGTTTATTTGTCAGCCTGATTGGTGCCTTTCCTAACTTTGCCAAACTCACATCACATGTACTGCAGCGAGCACTCATTAGACCCAGAATTTGAAGGCCAACGACTTGCTAATATCACACGGATAGCTACACATTTCTCCCATTTCTTGACGAAACTGTACCAACCATCCCGGCTCCAATCACGGACCGTTATCTCCCTGGTGTCCACTTTTAGGCAAGGATTTCGTTGTTGTTGTCTTGAGTGTGTGCAGGAGTTCGTTAGTAGATGCAGCTTGAGTATAGTGCAAGCAAAATTGATTTGTTTGATCATGTGTGATGTATGAATTCCGGTTTGTGTTTGAGCTAAATTTCCACAGTGCAACATGCATACTTGACCGATCGTTTAATATATAGGATGCTGATTGATCGATGGATGCCTAATAAATCATCGTTTCAGCCCACCGAGTTATGATAAAAAAAATGGAACCTGTTTATCTCTACATGACTGACCTTTAGATCCAGTATTTGAATACTACTATTTTCAGAAGAAGCATATGATTAGTGTGGTTTCTTTTACAACGTCAAGGTGTCAGTGCATGTGATTAATATCATGACATGGTTCTACTAGACATCATTACCGTTTGATAGCCAGGCATGTAGTGATCTTACCCCCTTACGTGCTTCACAAATTTAACATGTACAACACCTTTAAGTAAACTTTTGCTAAAGATAATGACCTTTAAGTAAACTATTGCAGACATAAACACCAACCTTGATCTTTTGCTAAAGATAATGACCTTTAAGTAAACTATTGCAGACATAAACAACAGCCTTGATCTGTAGTACAAAACAGAAGAGAGAAACTACTTCCTCCTGAACAAATTACATGGTGGTTCATCCAGTATTTTCACTAAAGTTCTCAGGTAAAAATACAGATAAAATACTTACCTTTCTGGAAGAGAAATACACTGCACTGAATTAAATAGACCTCAGAAAAAGACTGAAGCCAAACATCTCCAAGAAAAAAAACGGGAGAGTTCTCTAACAACCAGACAACGATTGGCGTCGCTCTCCATCCCAACTTCTCCTCTGCTCCGATTCGTACTCGCATTTCTTCCACATTTTTGCGTGTTGAAGACGCCTGGATCCATCCATCCATCCGCCACCAAAACGCTCTAAATCCTATGTGCTGCTGGTTGATGCGTTTCTTGGTCACTTAGTTGGCACTCAAGAGAGAAATAATCACCAGCTTTTTCTTCTGTTGGTTGCCTCTTAACCGAAATCTGATGGGGAGATGGTACTGAGATTGCGTTTTCTTTCCTTTGCTCGTCTCCAATGTCGGTGGACTTGAGATGCTGAGGTACCTGGTGTTCGTTTAGATGTCTCTTGTAGAGGTACTTTCTCTTTTATTTTGTTGCTGTCATCGTTGTTGAGATGGTGGTGGTTGTTGTTTTGTTCTATGATTGGTATGTTGTCTTCTGTTTTTTATGACTAGGTTGGTCATAGAGGAAGCTTTATATGCTATAGATTTTTAAGTGAACTTTTGTTGTTTTATTGCAGGCTTATAAGGACCTACTACTTGTTGAAGTTGTAGACTCGTAAACCATAACAATTTTTGAATTTTAGAACGTAATTTTAGGATTATTTAGGGGTCTCATTATCTTTTTTTTACTCATCCAAGACTAATTAATGGCTTTTGGTTGCATCGGTTACATGTATTCACAACCTGAAAATTGTTTTGACGGTTTTATTTAGGCGGCATGGAATAGATATATGTTTGTGGTTTGTACGGTCATGGTATATTGACTCCTTTTTTTTTTTTGAAAAGATGGTATATTTGACTTTGTGTATATTCAAAAACTAAATTGAACTTGGAGTTGATTTTTGTTGACTTGTTAGCCGGAGCATGTGACAATCCAGAATATTGGGCTAGGGCTATGTAAAGAAGAACATTAGCACCTTTTCCCTTTCCTAGATGATGACTTAAAGGAAAAATGAGAAAGAAAGATGAAGTCTTTTAGTTGAAACTTGAAAGTAATCAGATAACAGCATATTAAGCCCACACCGCCCACGTACGTGTCACCGAAGACCAGATCCAGACCTCGCCGTGAGCAAGTTCAACCGGGGGAAAAACAGCACCAGGTCAATGATGAGTTTTTGCAAAATTGCAGCAATATGTCTTTTTTTTTCTCCCATTTCCATCGTTTTTGCCTGTGCTGCGAATGACAACATCGATTACCTACTGCTGATTATAAACTATATAATAGTTTTTAATAATAAAAATATAATTTATGGGTATGTATCCTTAATGAACTAAAAAGATAACGTAAAAGAGAAATACGTTGAAAAATATCAAAGTTAAGTTTTAAAATTTAAATTTTAGTAACGGTTTCTATGATCATAGGATAAACAATGAGATCCTAAACTAAATACAATAAACCATTCCCCTTATTTTGCTTGTTGCTACGCTTTATTTTGCTTGTTGCTACGCTGCCCGCGAGACCAACCACCGGAGAAGAGAGCTGGAGCTGGAGCAAGATGGCAAAGTCGCCAGTCCCCACAAGCTGACTCCGCCTCCGCCGTTGACTTGGCCCGACGCCCCGGCGACCTCTGCACGTGGTAAGCGGCGGCTGGAGAGGCCTGAGAGCTCAACAGCGACAACGGTAGGTGTAGCTCCGTACGTGCCCCCGCTCTTGTATTTCTTTCAAAGTTAAAAGTTTGAGTTAAAATTAATACGATGTGACTGAAAAGTTATGTGTATAATAAATTGATGTGATGAAAAATATTGAAAGTTTGGATCAAAGTTTAAATCTAAACACACCCTTTATCTTGCCGGCCATTTCTGCAACGTACGGGAGGGTAACCCGACGTGGCTACGCTACCGTGTGCAGCGCGTGCAAAACCATCGTGACATTGCTGCCGATCGATCAGCGCCCCGTCGGTGTGGCGCGGCGCACACGGGGAAAAACCCGGCAGCAAGCCAGCAATCACGATGGAAGACACGCGAGGTCAAAATTTCTGCCGCTTTTGTCTCGTCTCGATCGGTGGGGTGGATGGTTCGGCACGCACGCACGCATCGTTGGTTCCAGCTGATCACTCGGGCCACTCGGTGTCACCGTCTCGCGCCGCGTCGCCGTCTCGCTCTCGCGGAAGGAGGCCCCAGCAGCAGCCAGCATCGGTGAATCGGCCGTTTTTTTTATATTTTCCTCCTCGCGTGAGCTGCGTGGCAGCTTCGAACCGACGGGCCCGTCCCGTCGGCCTCTGCTGACTCTGATGAGTTTGCCTCGTCGTTTCTCACCACGTGCTCAGAAAGTAAAAAAATTACCCGTCGTATCATATTGCCGCTGCTCACGTCTACAGTAATAGGGCATCTACAATATATGTGATATAAAAGTAGTACATAAGTAATAAGTAATAGAATATTTCATTCAGCCATCTATTATCATTGTGCAACTAGTCCATATAGAAAAAATAACAAAAAGGTATCCATATGCATATAGACTACCTATATGGAATAAATTATATTATCTATCTCTGCTCCTCTCTCTTCTCCTAACGATGCATTGTATCCATATACATTGTGGAGATTGCCATAGGTAAAAACTATTTATGTGAGTCATATCTATATGGGTCACTTTACCATATATATTGGTGATGTCCTTAAAGCCTGTTTAGGCTATGTTTAGTTCACACTGAAGTTTGGAAGTTTGGTTGAAATTGGTACGATGTGATAGAAAAGTTGTGTGTTTGAAAGATTTGATGTGATGGAAAGTTAGAAGTTTGGAAAAAAAACTAAACAGGGCCTTATTTGCAAAATTTTTATTCAAACTTCCAACTTTTACATCACATCAAAACTTTCCTACTCCCTCCGTCTTAAAAATAAAGCAAACCCTGGGTTTCCGTGTCCAACTTTAACTGTCCGTCTTATATAAAATTTTTTTATAATTCGTATTTTCATTGCTGTTAGATGATAAAACATGATTAATATTTTATACGTGACTTGTCTTTTTCATTTTTTTCATAATTTTTTTAAATAAGACGGACGGTCAAACGTTGGGCACGGAAACCATGGTTTGTCTTTTTTTTGGACGGAGAGAGCACACGAATAAACTTCTAACTTTTCCATCACATCGTTCTAATTTCAATCAATCTTTCAATTTTAACGTGAACTAAACACATCCTAAAGATTTATTTTTGTGCAACGAGGACTTGGGTGATTAAGTTTACAATTCGATCTTGTGCCTTATTAACATCCGAAAATAATACGTATTCTCAATATTAAAAGTAAAATAAGACAATAAATTCTTAAAAAAATAACTAGTACTAGTATAAAATTAAGTTTTGAGAATTGAAATTCTGGTTGTGCCAAAAGACAAAGGATTGGAGGCTGTACTGGACTGCTGGTACGTATCGTGCACGAGCTCATCCAACCGGTTCTGACTTCAGAGATATGATGAAACCGCTATTTTGTGCCGAAACGTGCACATCGTCTACGTTCTCTGTCGGTGCGCCAGCAGTGGATTCTTTTTTCGGTCCAACGCAACAACTTCTCCGGCCCGTTCTCCGTACTGTGTTTCTGCTCCATGCATGCACGTAGTGGAAACTGAAAAAAGGCAGGAAAGAACTTGCCCTTTTCTGCAGTAAACCACTAAACCATGAGTCCACATGTTGGGTAGCACATAGCAGTGTGCCCAAAGTATACACATGCCACGTTGGCCAATGGTCATCATCATCATCATCACTCATGAGGTGGCTATAAAGAAAGGAACACACACAAAAGAGCGAAGTGAAGTTGGTGATGCATCCATCACATTTATCCCTTTGCCATGCCTAATTAAACCGCTTCTTTTCAAGTTATTTTCCAGCCTAATTGGCACCCCTCCTAACTTAGCCAAACCCACACCAAAATGCACTGCTGCAACTGCATTTCTGTAAGCATTCACTAGGCCGGTCAGTGGCAGTATGCTCACAGGATAGCTACACTTAACTCACAATTCTTGACGGAAGGCAAGTGATCACACCAACGATCCCGGCTCCAATTGTTGCTAGTCCATTCTTAGGCAAATCTGTAGTTTTACTTTATCTGCGTGTGTGCGCAAGCACTTGATAAACAGGTTTGCAGCCTGATGCTGACCGCATAGCTTGGAAAAGTTTATACTATAAAACATAAAACAATGTGTAGTAGCGGATCAAGTGGCACACGTTGATGCAAACAAGGAATATATGTAGTGTGTTCGGTCAAAAAAAGGAATATATTTAGTGCATGATCTTCACATTTACGTTTCTCCTTAAATATTTCGTAGCAGCGATTAAAACAGTGCCCTACAAAACTGTCACTCACACTGAAAAAAATAATTCCCCAAACCCAAACCAGATCAGAAAAAACAGCCAAATTTCCTCCCACTATATAGGAGCAGTTTTTTTTTTCCTTTTTTTCCCCTAGCAATGGCTTTCATGGCCAGTTGCGCTGTGTTTTTAAAACCTTACTCTCTTCTAATATAATGATGCGTTATTCTTTTACATGTTCGTGAAAGAAAAAAAATTGACGCCGTTGCTCTCCTTCCAATCGATCAACCGCGACGCTGCAGCAGCCTGCAGGTAAAAATTTGCAGCAATAAATCTGCGTGAGCTTGCTGAAGTGAGTCGCTGTTTGATGTTCTCTTTGCGTGTAAATTGGGGGCGCTCGGATCCTTCCATTTCACCGGACGAGTGCCAAGATTTTACAGCGTTGTTCATGTGCGTTGCTGGGTTGATCGCTTGATCGGATGCGTTTTCGTGGTCGCTTGAGACTCACTCAAAGGCGAATCAATGGCTCGCTTTTTCTCTCTCTTTTCTCCGGGTTGGTTAGCTTCTGCTGCGGTTGCAACCGATTCGGGTGGGGGATGAGATGGTACTGCGAGGAAGCTCTTCCTCCAATGTCGGTGATCTTGTGGGTCAATTATTTGTTGGGGAAGTGACTTGAGATTCAGATTAATTAGATTAGTGTCTGTTAATTTGTTTAGTGAATTTAATGTCTCTTATTTTGTTGCTCTGATTGTTGTTGGTGATGTGTTCTGGGGATTTTTTATTTTCATAGACACAAATTCTTTGTAGGTTTGTTTTTAGGTGGATGCGACTTGTTTTTTTTCTCTGATTTGTGTGAAAAGGTAGGGAGAAAAGACTGAACTTAATGAACTGGACTATCGTTTTCAAGAAAGAAATGTTGGATTATTATTTTTTTGATTGCTTGCTTTGCTACCTGGAACATGTGACAGTCCTTGACTCGGACTGTGTAAACAAATGTCTCTCATTACCCATTTCCCCCCTCTAAATGATGCCTTAAGAAAAAAGAGGAATTAAGATCGAATCATTATAAAGTCTTTAGTTTCAGTAAGCAAATAGAAGTGACTTAACACCAAGAAAATTCTCTCATTTTCCTTTTTGTGTTTAAAGAAAGCCTAAAGAATTCTTCCATGGACGCTGAAGCTTCCCTGTTGAACAGCAACTGTATCTTATTCAGATGACAGTACAAAAATCAGTTAATCATACACACGTTTTGGTTGGTGAGAGTTGTCACGTTGGTTTGCATCAGCGTCACCTTCCCCTAATTTGTCAGTGTCTGTTGTCCGTCCTTGGAGGCTTCTACCGTTCTTCCTCTCGTTGGATTGTGGCACAGGCGCACATCTTGACATTTCTTTACTAGTCCTACATCCCAAATTACCACTATAATCTTTGCATTTTGGTTAAATTTAGGCTACCATCGGATGGCCTAATCAGCCAAAAAAAAGCCAAAATTTGAATTTTCAAGTTTAATTTTGAGATATTTTCAACGTAGTTTCTTTTTCAACATTGGCTTTTAAGTCACCAAGAACACATTTATAAAAGTTTTACCTACAAATTTATTTTTATTTTCTAATAAGCCGTTTTGGCTTATTAGGAAATAAGCTAAACGATGAGACCCTAGTATGATCATGAGTCCTGACCTCAGATAATTTTGAACCTGCCATATCTATGGAGTATGTACTACATGGCCATTTCTGAAGTCTGAACTATATTGTTCTCAGCACTGAACAATACTCCAGCATGTTATCTCCTTTTGTCTAATGTGTCTTACTATTCCATTTACTAATAATAATGGGGTTAAAGGAGTAAAGAGGTTGGTGGTTTGTGCTGATGGGAACCTTTGATAAATGCCGAGTTTGGTGTGGCCCATGGATTGCGTGACTTCAACTTGTCAGAGACCTTGCTCGGATGGTACTAGTAGTAGTAGTATGCGGGTGTCTGACCGGCCTTGACACAGTAAAATTTCTCGAGTGGGGAGGGGTAGATCCAATTCAGACCCAATTCGGTGGCTTCAGTAGTGAAGCCAATATAAGGGGGGCAGTCTCCCCTCTGAACACACACAACTTGTAGGCAGCTTCTCTCTGCATACAAGAGGAGGTCTCTCCTTCTTCAGCGACTCCCTCAAGATCTTGCCCAAACTTGCTGAGATCTGGTGAGTGCCTTCTCACGGTCCTGTGGATCATTTGTGGTTTAGTTCGTAGTTTGTTGTGTGATCTTGCAAAGTCTTGATCTAGTAGCTGTGTTCGTTTTTGATTTCTCTGAAGATATTAGCTTTGCTGTGTTCGGATCTGGGAGATGGAGATGGAGATCTCATTTTCCTCTCACCCCCTTTCTGGATCACGGTTTCTCACTTTTGCCGCTTAAAATCGCGATTTTGCTCGCAAATTTACTTCCTTTATGCAAAAAAAATCATGTTAAAGAGTTGGTCGCGGCAATGGATGGATCTCGCCCGCCCCTGTCTATGATCTGATACTCTTCCCCAAAACCTCGAAATGTTTCCATCTCGATTCTATTGGGCGCCCCCATTTTCCCGTGTTTCTTGCGAGATCCCGGTTCGTCAGCTCGTGATCCGCGAACCCCGATTTGCTAGTGTTGACTTGGTAGCAATCCGTTTCATCACTCCATTCAGTTTGCTAATACTAATAAAAATTGTAATATTTTTTTTCCAGTAAGAGCAGTAGGCGAAGATGGTGAAGATCTGCTGCATCGGAGCTGGGTACGTGGGCGGGCCGACCATGGCGGTGATCGCCCTCAAGTGCCCGGCGATCGAGGTGGTGGTCGTCGACATCTCCAAGCCGCGCATCGACGCCTGGAACAGCGAGCAGCTGCCGATCTACGAGCCGGGGCTCGACGAGGTGGTCAAGGAGTGCAGGGGCAGGAACCTCTTCTTCAGCACGGACGTCGAGAAGCACGTCGCGGAGGCGGACATCATCTTCGTGTCCGTGAACACGCCGACCAAGACGCGCGGCCTCGGCGCCGGCAAGGCGGCCGACCTCACCTACTGGGAGAGCGCGGCGAGGATGATCGCCGACGTGTCCAAGTCCGACAAGATCGTCGTCGAGAAGTCCACCGTGCCGGTCAAGACGGCCGAGGCGATCGAGAAGATCCTGACGCACAACAGCAAGGGCATCAACTACCAGATCCTCTCCAACCCGGAGTTCCTCGCCGAGGGCACCGCTATTGACGACCTGTTCAAGCCCGACCGCGTCCTCATCGGCGGCCGCGAGACGGCGGAGGGGAGGAAGGCCGTGCAGGCGCTCAAGTCGGTGTACGCGCACTGGGTGCCCGAGGACAGGATCATCACCACCAACCTCTGGTCCGCCGAGCTCTCCAAGCTCGCCGCGAACGCGTTCCTGGCGCAGAGGATCTCGTCGGTGAACGCCATCTCGGCGCTCTGCGAGGCCACCGGCGCGAACGTCACCGAGGTGGCGTACGCCGTCGGCAAGGACTCGAGGATTGGCCCCAAATTCCTCAACGCCAGCGTTGGATTCGGCGGCTCCTGCTTCCAGAAGGACATCCTGAATCTGGTGTACATCTGCGAATGCAATGGCCTCCCCGAGGTTGCGAACTACTGGAAGCAGGTGATCAAGATCAACGACTACCAGAAGAGCCGGTTCGTGAACCGGGTGGTGTCGTCCATGTTCAACACGGTGTCGGGCAAGAAGATCGCCGTGCTGGGGTTCGCGTTCAAGAAGGACACCGGCGACACGAGGGAGACGCCGGCGATCGACGTGTGCCACGGCCTGCTCGGCGACAAGGCGCAGATCAGCATCTACGACCCGCAGGTGACGGAGGACCAGATCCAGCGGGACCTCGCCATGGGCAAGTTCGACTGGGACCACCCGATGCACCTGCAGCCGACGAGCCCCACGGCGTTCAAGCAGGTGAGCGTGGTGTGGGACGCGTACGAGGCCACCAAGAACGCCCATGGCCTCTGCATCCTCACCGAGTGGGACGAGTTCAAGACGCTCGACTACCAGAAGATCTACGACAACATGCAGAAGCCGGCGTTCGTCTTCGACGGCCGCAACGTCGTCGACCCGGAGAAGCTCAGGGAGATCGGCTTCATCGTCTACTCCATCGGCAAGCCGCTCGACGCCTGGCTCAAGGACATGCCCGCCGTGGCATGATAAGATTCATGTGAATTTTAATCGATCGATTCGATTCTCAACCTCGATTCGAGCTGCAGGAATTCGACTTGGAAGAAGAGCAATGCAAGATGGGTTGGCCACTTAAAATTCTTTATAGTTCGTTTTTTTTTTTGCAGGAGACGACACTACCATTTTCTCAGGCATAAAAAAGTTGGGTGTTCTTGTTAGTAAAATCATCGTCATCGCTGTTGAAGTTTTTTTTTTCATCGTTTGCACTGTTCTAGATCACTATAATCCCCACCCCACTCCCCCTCCCCCTCCCCCTCCCCCTGTCATCATGGCTCTTTCTGTTTGAGGGCCATCTGAACGAAAATTTACCTGTATTATTCAGTCAACTTGTTATAGCAGATTGGTTATTCCATTGTACTATTCTCAAATATATCTCTTGCTGCAAAACTTGTGTTGTTCTTGTGTGCGCAAAAACGAACCAGAAATGACTAAACGAGTAGTACATTGTGTCGGTCGGATTCATCGAAAAACGCTTCGTTTTTTCCACGCGGCCTCGGCTCGGCTCGGCTCCGTGTGGTGTCCAGCCCAACCACCGAATCCGCCGCGTATCGTTCGGCCGCGCACGCGGCCCAGCTATCAACCACCCTCCTCGGCCCCATCTCCGCCATGTGCTTTTGCCGGCCCATCTCCACGCGCCCGCTTGGGATGCGGGCGTGCCTGTGAATAAACGTGTCGTCTTGTTCCCGTGCCAAATGAGACACCGGATTCGTCAGTCCAAACTGCCCTTAAAACCGTCGAGAAAATCGTTTTGGCACGTTTTAATGGTTAGAGAGTCCATATATCTGATTTTAAAGATTGCGATATATAAATCAAATCTAACTTATATTTAAACGAAAGTTAAAGTGAACTTTCTCCGGTGACGTGCGACCAAGATGAAATTTTTTTCAATCTAGCGCACGCACAACACTTACATACTGTATCGGATATGAGTGTGTTTTTCTAGTGCACGTCTAAAGAGACGGAGACCAATAACACATCTCTAACATTATAATTTTGTTATTAAAAAGCATACTCATACGTACTACTCTGTAAAAAAAAGGGACAAACTCTAACTACGAATCTGAACACGCATATGTCTATTTATAGTTAGGATTGGACATTTTTTTGAGGGCGGAGGGAGTACTACTCTGTTTTAGAAAAAACGAATACCTAGCTTTGAACCATGTGTCTATGTTCATGATAGGATTGATTTTTTTGGACGGAGGGGTACGTGCGTAATACGTCTTTATTGGCAAAAAAACCCAAAAAAAATAGAAGAATTATCTTAGGTTAGTTAATTTAACACGCTTTTGTCTGCCACGTACGATTTCCCGCAGTCGGTTTGTGCCAAGACGTGGTGAGTAAACGATGGTCGCGGTTGTGGCCGGCACTAGTGATTACCTCCATGTGTGCGTGGTACAGCTATACCGATACAGGAAGTGAAGTCAAGTCAGTGCAGTGGTCACGTCAAACAAATGTGAACGAATCTTCAAAGTAAAACCTTCGTATACCTTCCACATGGACAGATCACAGATGGACACAACGTTAACGTATACGGGGTCAAGCTAGAGAGCACTACTTTGGCGTGTCGTGCGGTGCAACCGCGGGCATCAGCGAGTGCTGGAGTACGTGCGTGCATGGCCGCACATATGCCGGCATCCCTGCATGTGTCATACGGCGGTGAGATTCCACGGCATGGACCATGGAGAAATATAGCTACGCTAGCTGCTTTCCACGCACTTTCCCACCGACGTATAGTAGCTACAACGACGCGGTTTCACACGCTGTTTTTTTTTCCTTCTTCCAAACTACTAGTACGGGTTCTTTTCTGATTAAGATTTCGATTTAATCTCGGTTTCCGTTGATATGTTTTTCATACTAATAGATTATTCACAACCCAATAACTAGGATGATGTCTATAACATTAAATAAACTACCACCTATAATGAAAAATAATGTGGCAAGTGAATAAATAAGGAAAAAGAAAGAAACCATGTCTTGCATAAGACATGGTTTCTATACAACATCCAAGACATTATGTGAGACTAGCATTAAATTTGAGTATAGAATAGTGATGTTTGCATTGGAAGAGTAGTGTCTAGTACTAGTTTCTTGATGATGTGAAGTTTGTGGAAACTATGTCTATTGTCTTGGATTGGGAATGGCCTTAAACGTGTTTCGTGAGAAAATTTTTAATATAAAAGTTACTTTAAAATATCAAATATATACATTTATCGAGTTTGTAATAATTAAAACTTAATTAATTATATGCTAATGAATTTTTTGTTTTATGTGCTTCAATTCAATCTTCATCTTCATCAGTCTCATACACTACCTAATATATTAGCAGAAAAAATAGATTTTGCAACTATGACCTGCTGATGTAGATAATAGAGGGAATAGAGGAAAGAAAGGACACTATTTAATTTTAGTGGCAAAAATGAAAAAAAAAGTTTCATAATTGGGAACCCACTCTCCTCTTTTTATACGCGCACGCTTTTTAACTTGTTGAACAGTATATTTTTTGAAAAAATAATCTATACGAAAGTTGCTTAAAAAGACATATTCTAATAATTAATTAATTACGCGCTAATAGATTGATCTTTTTTAGCGGGAGGGATTAGTTTCCATCCCTTACTACCGAACACAGCCTAAAGAGGCTTGCTGCCATTCATGCCAGTGGGAATAATACGATTTTTTTAATGTGGTTGCTATAGGCTGTGTTTAGATACAAAGTTTGGATCCAAACTTCAGTCATTTTCCATCACATCAACCTGTCATACACACATAACTTTTCAGTCACATCATTTTTAATTTTAACTAAAATCCAAACTTTGCGCTGAACTAATCACAGCCATACTTGGTTACTAGAGCTGTGTTTAGTTGGATTCAAAGTTTGGATTTTGGTTGAAATTGAAGATGATGTGACTGAAAAGTTGTGTGTATGACATGTTGATGTGATGGAAAAGTACTGAAGTAGTTGCTACACTTGAGTTTGTTTGTTACATGCCATAGTGGGAATAATACTGAGCAGTAGTACTTGCAAGAATTAATGCACGATATTATACGGTGATGCACTGATGCAAACAGACTGACAGTACGTGTAATACTGGGGTCCGGGATCTCACGTGCCCGTACAAGCTAACATAAAGGGATTGCTGAACACAAAGGGAACATTCCATCCACATCAAAATTAATTCAAAGTTGGTGTAGATGGCATTGCTTCCACACAGCTTTTTTTTTTCCTTTTGCACACAGCTTTATCTTTGTACTCCCTCACTTTTAAAATATAAGGATTATTAAGTTGTTTAGCTAATGCTCTTTCAATCATGAAATATTAGACGTAACTACCACTAAGTAAAAACCAAGAAAAAATATTATTACCATCACATTTGTACCAATCCAATAAATAAAATGTATACACCTATCGAAATTAGAGATCGAGAGGGTGGAAGATTTAAAAAAACGGATTAAAGAAGAGGAGAGGTGTTAGTTAATTGCACATGTATATTTGTCTTAAATTATAAAACATCGAAAGAAAGCAGTTGTGCCTTATATTTTTTTTTACGAAGGAAGTACCAAGGTTGGGTCACATGATTTCTTTCTAGTTGCTTCAGTGGTTATTTTTTGAATTTTGAATTGTTTATATTCCCTTTCCAAGCATTTATTTGATTTTGGAATCATTGAAATAATAAGAATATTAGAAATTAGTGCAGGAATGTTTATGTTATGGTAAAAATAAATAAATCCTATAAATCCTTATATTTTAGATGGAGTATATAAAATGACCAAGATTATCACATTATTACTGAGCACTAATTAAAAACTCCAAAATTGATCTCAGTTGAAGTCACTTGGAATAAAGAACAAAAGGTTGAATGGTTGTCATTATACTACAGCACAACATTAATTTAGCATAAGTGTACATAGATATAGCTAGTAGTATATATCTACACCAACCTACATACACATTATAATGCAGAAGTAGTTAACATAGGTAGAGATTCTTCTGCCAAGAAGATACAGTCAGGGAATGCCTAGTGCTGCCAACTGCATACACAGACTACGGTTAATCGGGCACATAAAAGTTTGCCATGAAAAATACTCCACCGGCTGACCAATGAGGTTTGCAATCACTTGTAAGTCAGCTCTCCATCGTTGCAATAAGCTTAATTAATATATACTCCTAATTTCCAAGCCATTAATTGGTAGGTAATGACTGAGACGGTGGATTTCAGCAGGAGCTAATCAAAGAACCCTAGCTGCGTGATTTGCCTTCCTGCCAGCTGCCTCCATGCCAAGAGATGAGATGACACTTCAAATATCTAGTGTAGGGAGATAAGTCTGCAATGGATGTGCATTTGAATTAGATTATGATTGTAAAAATTGTGTATAAATATAAAACTTTGAAGGCGTGCATACACATCTTCAAACCAATCAATGAATATAACTTATAAATATTAATGCATATTTGTCCTTGCAATAGTGTTGTTAACGTTGGAAAGAACACACGTAAGAGTATGCAGCATTTTTGTCAGCAGTTTATTCTCCAGTGAGTAACTACTACTAGATCAATTGTTCCTGCATGATAAAATAATCCATCCGAACTTAGGAAATAAGCAAATAATAATTGTGTGTATATCCAAAAGAACTTGTCAAAACTTGGGGGATCAAATTATGCGGTGTCCTAAACACACCAACTAGGTACTCTACCATGCAAAAGTACTTAGAACTGCGGCAAAACAAATTAAGGATATTAATATCAAACAAAGAAGGTCTTAGTTATCTTAAAACAAATTAAATGACATAATACTTATACTACATCGCAAAACAATAAACTACTCACTCCGTTTTACAGTGTAAGACCTCCTAACATTGCCCACATTTATTTAGATGTTAATGAATGTAAGTGTGGGCAATGCTAAATGAATGTGGGCAATGCTAGAAGGTCTTACATTGTAAAACGGAGGAAGTATTCCTTAAGAGCCTTAATTGTCTTCAAAATTGAATGTTAAATGTTTATAGTTTTACACTGCATTATTGTTAATATTACGGAAAACAATATATATATATATATATATATATATATATATATATATATATATATATATATACTAAAATATTTCAAGCAAATAAAACAAAAATATATTGTGACACAAATCATATAATTTGTTGGGCTAACCACTAGCAGAATAATTATATTTTTTATGCGAGTAAGAACAATTATAAAATTTGATTCTATTAGTGTGCAGTCTCTTACATAGGAGTAAGAATCAACTTAATTTAGGAGTGTCTAAATTTTCGTGAGTTCCAACTTCCAGATTTCGTTAGCAGTATCATAAGAACATATACAATTTAACATCTGCTAATAATTCTAATTAATGAGGTCCATTGTGTAGCTACTTACCAACTTACCATGCATGTATATTTGAGTATTGTCATCCAAGTCTAACTCCAGGAGGCACAATATCATCAAGTAGCCCCTTGTCAAACGAAACAGCCGGAGGCACCGACGGCGACGGCGGCCGCTGCGCGATGGTCACCGCCGCCTGGGGGCTATTATTATAGCCAGGGCGTTGTAGCCCCTCGCTATTGTTCAGCTCCTGCAAAGACGTCGTCGTCGGCATCGAGCAGCTGACGGCGGTCTCGGAGGACGGCGGGTGCAACCGGGGTAAACCGTACAGCATATGCGGCTGTGGCGGCGGCGAGACGAACGCCGACATTTGCTCGGCGAGGGCGACGGCCGCCGCGCCGTGGATGTGCGCCGCGACGGCGGCGCCGCCGACGCCGCGCTGGAAGGAGGCGGTGTGGTGGCAGTGCTGGCCCTCGTAGGTGGTGATCACGACGGAAGGGTCGTCGGAAGACCGCTCCACGCGCTTCTTCACAGTGCACTTGCTGTTGGTGCACCTGTAGTAGCTCCTGAGTCAAGCAAAACCATTTTTTGTTATGTGATGATTAGTTGAGCCTTGAACAAATCCATGTTTAATAATGATGGCAATTATGGATGGTGGTGTGTCTTGGTGATTAATTATAACAAAGATTCTAATTAATTTAACAAAGTATATAGCACATCAGCACATGCATGTATGGATATAGAATTTGACTATGTATAGTACTAGTACTATAATAAGGGAAATACTCCCTCCGTTTTTTAATAGATGACGCTGTTGACTTTTTCTCACATGTTTGACCATTTGTCTTATTTAAAAAATTTACGTAATTATAATTTATTTTATTATGAGTTGTTTATCACTCATAGTACTTTAAGTGTGATTTATATCTTATACATTTGCATAAAATTTTTGAATAAGACGAATGGTCAAATATGTGAGAAAAAGTCAACGGCGTCATCTATTAAAAAACGGAGGGAGTATAATACAAGATATATACCATAAAAGAAAACTCTCCGATAAAAGAAGAATGTTCCATTACGACATATGAGATATCTAGTTGCACAGATTCTGTCATATGCCCCACTATAAAAAAAACTGCCCCTTAAAACCATGGGTTTTGCCGTTTTGGCATATTCAGTTCTAATATAACTAGATAATATGTAAAGGGCAATAAATATTGTACTACTACTATATATATAGTGAAGAATTAGATGAAAATAGCTAGGCTTTGCTAACAAAAAGTAAACTGATCAGGGAAAATTACTCGGATTAATTAATCCTATTAATACTCACTCTAAGCTAGCCAAGAGCCACATACAGGCATACTTCAAACAATTAATATGCAAGCCGTTATATATACTATGTAGAACATGCATTAGAACGAGTATTCTTTGACACAATGACTGCATGAACTTAGATTATTTTTTAAAAAGCTTTTGTTGACCAAAAATCTAAACCAAATGATTAGCAGTTGTTCAGAAAGATTTTTCACTTCACATATATGGTATATATAAAGCAGGATAGAAGAAAGAAATTAAACAAGCAATCCAAGCTTTGCCCCCCATGCTTGTGAGAGCTGAGAACACACACGAGATATGATCGATCGAGGGGATGGACAGAAACAGAAGGAAGCGATCGATCGATTGTCACGCGCTCACCTTGGGAATGGGCTGTTCTTGACCGCCTTTTGCCCATACTTCCTCCACCTGTAGCCATCCTCGAGGTGGTCAATCTCGCTCTTGGTCATGAACGCGAACCGCGGCTGCCTCGCCCTCTTCTGCCCCTTCTTCGCCGTCGCCGTCGCCGTCGCCGCCGCCGCCGGCCTGATCAAACACACACATGCACTGTCAAAACCGATCAAAGAAACCGCCATGAAAAACTCAAAAAATTAGCACACTTTCTTCACTGAAACCACCGCGTCATTTCATATCATACCGTCGCTGCAAGATGCAGTTAATAAATTAAATGCAGTGTGGGCTGGAGATCGATGTGTATAGATGTGGAGTGCAGGGTTTAATGAGTGCTTGGATCAAGTTGGCCAAGGTAAGACAAAGAAATTGGTCGGTCGGTCGTCAGGTCAGTGCTCCAGACATGGCGACGTACAGTACTAGTACTCCAGTAGATAGCCCCACTACTCCACTACACCCCCCCTCGCCGCCAACCAGCGTCGCTGCTGACATGCAGATTTCAGACCACCGATGCATCGAAATCGCAAAAGAGACCGTTCTATATACGTCCTCCGTTTCAAAATGTTTCACACTATTGACTTTTTAGTAAATATTTGACCGTTCGTATTATTCAAAAAAGTTTGTGAAATGTGTAAAACTATATGTGTACATGAAAGTATATTTAACAATGAATCAAATGATATGAAAAGAATAAATAATTACTTAATTTTTTTAATAAGACGAATGGTCAAACACGTATTAAAAAGTCAACGATGTCAAATATTTTGAAACGGGGAGTATATAATTACTCCCAATCTCTTCCCGTTTCGAACAAGATTTTGCAAACATATTTGAACGATGAGATTTTTTTTTCGGAAACGCCAATAAAATTTACACGTCAATATACTATAAGAAAAAAGTGTATATGCTACACAAAGTAATTAGCCAAGCAAGAATTTGAACGATGAGATCGATCAACAACATAAAAGTAACAAAGAATTGGAGAACATGTTTGGACGCAAGTCGAATTAATGGTGGAGTAAAAGAAAATACGCGTATCCGTATTGGATACGGGCATTATTAATTTATTATTATACAGTGGTAGTAGTACTTGACGATGACGATGAATAGTGTAATGGGCGAAATCAAAACGAGGCGAGGCGAGGCGAGGAGGGGAAAAGAACAAGAGAAACCGCGTGAAACTTGGAACAATCTTCGCACGCAAATCGCGGCGCGAGAGACGACGCGGCACGCGGATCTGCTACTACTAGCAATTTTTTTCTGTTTTTTTACCAGATTGCCCCTCCCCGACGCGTAATCCAGGTAAACGTGTTGCAATTTGCAACGAGAGAAAAAGAGAGAAAAAAAAAACGAAAACTCGTCGCATGAGCTAGCTCCGCCGCTCGCCGGAGGAGAAGCGAGAGAACCAAACGCCGGCGACGAACTCTAACGCACGCACGCACGCGGGGCACGTGTACTACTTACGCTGCCTCGGCGGCGGCCGGTCGCTTGTCGGGGGCGGCGGGCTCCCCGCTAGAGCTCGACGACGCGGCGGCGGCGGCGCCGTCGCCCGATCTCGCCGGCGCCTCCTCCTCCTCCTCCTCCTCCTCCCGCGCCGCCGCCCCCACCACATCCACCGGCAGATCCAGCGCCGCCGGTACCATCATCCCCGCGCCGCCTTCCTCGCCCGGCGCCGCCCACCCGCCGAGCTCGGCCAGCACCGCCGACGAGTACTCCGCGAAGGCGGCGTCCCCGTCGAACGGCGACCACTCCGCTCCGGCCATGGCCGCCGCCGATCAACCACCGTGCCGTGCTACGGCTACCGATCGATCTCTTCTCCGGTGATCCGCTTGTAGAGGAGAGTGCAGTGAACTGCGGTGCACTGGGGGAGTGGGGTGGGGGGGGGGGGGTGGTTCTGGATTTTTAGTGTGGGGGAGGGGGGTGGTGGCGATGGGTTATTTTTGGGTGATTAATTAATTAATTAATTAATAGGGGGGAGGGAAAGAAGTAGCTTTCGTGATTTTTATCGGTGTCTGGGCTAGACGCGTCGTCTCGGAGGTTAAAACTTTTTTTTTGGATGCTTTCTCTCTCTTGGTCATGGTGGGTGTTGGGGTAAAACTGTAAAAAGGGTCGAACCGTGGTATGTTGCTGCACATTGTTTTTTTTCTTTGAACAGTAGGATCGAAGAAAACAGATGAGCAGGAGAAATGTACGAGGGTGTGTTTAGTTCACGTCAAAATTAAAATTAAAATTTTGGTTAAAATTGAAACGATGTGATAGAAAAGTTAGAAATTTATGTGTGTAGCAAAATTTGGATGTAATGGAAAAGTTGGAAGTTTGAATAAAAAGTTTAGAATTAAACTCGGCCTAACTCTAGAATGTAAGTGTAAAATAGAGGATTATAAAAAGTAGAAAAAACACATAAATAACCGTTTGATTGAATCGTATGAAAAATATAGGAATTTTCAAGATACGGAAGCTCTTGCTAAATTTTTCTAAAACTTTTATAGGATTGTTCAATCCATAAGAATTTCAAACGATATAATATGATTTAATCTTTTTTTTAAAAGACCTCATAAAAAATTTGTATGATTGAAACCCTCGAAAATTCTTTTTTTTCCAAATCAAAGAGGCCCTAAGAGAGAAAACCATGATTATGTTAATGCAGCTCGTAATTACTCTATTTATCCTAAAATAAACAAATATAATACCGAATGTAACACATATATATTTTAATAATGGAATAAACAAAATAATTCACTTTAGCTTTTGATATTGGAATTTATAGAAGTTTCTTTTGTCAAGTCGACATGATTTCAAACCGTTTAATTCGTGGATGGTAAAGCTGTGATTGATCTTCCCTCTCTTAGTAAGCCGGTAACCATATTATTATAGTGGTTTCTAGTATGCTTTGGGGTTTAATCATCGTGAATTCCAATGTTTTATTCTTTAGAAACTAGTCATACAATGTACTAGGTAGACTAGAAAGAAAATTTGATCTAAAATATTCTGTTGATGCATTTATACAACACAAGAAAAAATTTAGACCGTGTGGATCGAATTGTCCTTGGTAACTTTTTATAGACAAACCCTTACGGATCAAATTATACGTTTGTAACGGTTTAGCCCAAACATGTAAATATTAGAAAAAAAATTGCATCAAATCAAACTCAAACATTGTACTACTAGCAATTTGTGGAGTAGTTCTCAATAAACAGAGGTTAGATAAGGGAATGTACAACGTAACCAACATGTCCACCGCCCATTGACCAATTCTCTTACGAGGTTGGCCGTCGTCATAAAGAAACAACGAAGTGACTACTGCTTAAATAATTCTGCAGGTCGCCTCTCGGCGCCATTAGCTGGATTCCTACATGATTACAATACTGTTTTACGAATTGATGAAAGGTTAATTAGGCCCCACACCGACGCTTCAGTTAGTATTATAACACACCTTGTAGCCACATGCATACAACCAACTGATACACATCCAAAAACTGTTCCATGAAAGGAACCACTGAGAGTTAAGTTCTCGAATTAGATAACACCATTTGTGGCCGGTATTCGATCAGGATAAACATAATTTCCCAGTTAAACATTTGCTTAAATCGCTTATTTAAGTGGTCCACTTTTTGGGGTAGGATTGAGTTAATGTTATACTAGCTCCCATCGTTTACACTATGTCTTATAAAACGCTACCAAAATTTAAATTTAACTTTTGGCATTTTTATCTTATTTTATTTTCTAAATTGGCTTTTAAATTACTATTAAAGTCATATATATAAATTTTTTAATTATGTCATTCCCCGCAAAAAAAAAAGAATATGTCATGTTCTTTAGTGAAGCTTTAGCTCCTCATCCCATTCCTTTTTTAGAAAACAAAGCTGCATATATTTAATTTCACATGTCCGTTTCCATTGCGTCGTCTCGAACAGTCGATTTGAATGTTCCAAACAAGATCTGTCGAATCGGCAAAGTAACCTTTCAACCTTTTTAAAAAAGTTTTCACAGGCACGGGTGAATTAGTTTAATGATTAATTACTTTCAGAATTATCTTAAGATTAATTACCACCGTCGATTACTTGGTTACGAGGGTAGATAAGAGACCTGGCCGTGGAAAGGACGATGGTGAAAAGAGAGAGAGAGGTGCGTGTGGGTCCCAGAAGAGAATCATTTTTGCACCTAACTTGGCCTGCACGAAACCACCACTCCTGTCCCTATATCGATTAATCCCCATCAAAGGTTAATATTCTTTTCCGTCAAATTTAACCCATCAAATTTACACTGCAACAAAATTAATTCTGCAGTTTATACATTGAAATAATCAAACTCTCCAAAATTTGTGACTATGCCAAAACGTTTTCTTTTTGGCCTTGCAGATGGATATGTCAAGAGCAGTACATAAGTACAAGACACGTTCTAAAAAAAAAAGTACAAAGACACAGAACATAATTAAGAACTTATGCACTTGTATGATATTATTATGTACCTTTGTAAAATTATTGTTTGTTCGTTTCCCCTCTACATAGCGTGTGATGGCGACCAGCATGTCTCACACGACGTAAAATAGGTCTCACATGCATGTGAGGCTAGGGGCCGGACACCATCTCATTCAATGTGCACACCTAACCATATATTCAAGCATCTCCCTAATTTTGTAGTATGGCAGATGATAACTGCCCACTTGTAATTGCCACAAATTATCACCCATGGTTGTGTTTAGTTTCTGAAATTGGGAAGAAGTTTGGGGAAAGTTGGTAGTTTAGGAAAAAAAAGTTAGGAGTTTATGTATGTAGAAAAGTTTTGGATGTGATGTGATAAAAAGTTGGGAGTTGGGGGGAAGTTTGATGTGAAATAAACATGGCCCATGTCTGCAATTTTTCAAGTGCTACTGTCTAAGCTTAATGTGTGATTCAACTGATCACTCACAAACTCCTTGGGCCTTATTCGGTTAATCCTATGACGAAGGAATTGGAGGGAATTTATTCCATATTGTGAAATTATTTCCCCTTAATCCCCTCCGATTATTTTCAATCCCATCTAAGTTGAACAAGGCCTCAGACAATCATGCTTAAGCATAGGAATAAAATTTAAATTGCAGACATGGGCGATAATTTGTGGCAATTAATTAATATTATAGGCAATCAAGCTGAATGAAGTTTTGCTAGAACTTAGATAAACCAGCCAAGTGATATATAACAGTTTTTGAAAGAAAAAAAAAGGGAAACATAAAGGACAATGTAACTTGTCAGGGCAAAAACCAAGCATGTCGTTATGTAGCTTCAATTGTCGGATTTATCTTCAAATCCCAGCTTTTCGTTATATTCCCTCCTAGTGCAGTGCATGCTGCAGTTGCATGGTACCTGCGCCAGCTAGCTAGCTAGTGACGATGTTTTGATGGCAACATTTTGGAGACGGTGGCGTGCCAATTTTCGATGATTTGAAATGCATCAACTGCATGCCATGGTGTATGGAATATGGCTGGCCAAATTTCTTTTTGACCATGGCTGAACACTACAAAGAAAATTCAAATCCTGGTTCAGATTGTGGGCAACAAAAAAAAATGCAGGAGAGATGTTATTTTTGTTACAATTTATCTTATAATTATTTATTTAACATGCATATTTGTGGAGAGGTATATTTTATATTAATTTATCTTATAATTACTTTTTTAAAAAATATAACTATGTAGTTGATATGTACGAAATAGAAGGATATTCTCTCGAGAGATGAAAACACTTTTCCAGGAGAGATCGATGAGATCAGAAAAAAAAAAGCTGCCTAATTTAAGCAAGCTCTCTCCAGACTCCAGCTAGCTCAATTTGAAGACGTAGTAGTGGGGGCGAGAGAGAGGAGACAAATCATCCGAGAGGGGGACCTTTTCTTTTTCACCTTTTGGCCTAAAAAAGGCAGAGACCGTCGGTAGATAGATGGTGTGGTCCATTGAACTCGATGGCCATATCTAATCCTCTTATCTCTGCCCCCATATCTCCTCTCTAATATATGAATATAGCTGGTACATTTGTTTAAGCTTAGTCTATTCTATCCTTTGATCCTATCCATCGTTCTAGTATATCCCTTTCTTCTCATTTTGGAGAGAAGAAGAGGAAGAAAGATGCATGATGCTTGATCGACTGATTTGTGATATTGGGGGGTGATTAATTAAAGATGACACTAATTAAACCACCCCCACCAATCTAGATTGATCTCATTAAGAATGGTGGAGAATCTGGAGATGTCATGCAGAGTAGCAACACTAGCATAGCACCTTCTTATCTTTTCCTCTAGGACGGGATCACACGGCAACTAACACCCCCATCTGAAAAGAATTGAAATGCAGAGACTAAAGCCCCGTCTAGAGAGTTTCTTACGGCTATAGCTTCTTGTAGAATCCTAGAATCTTAGCTCTTCTAAACTGTATTAATTTTTATCTAAATTTTAAAAATCAGTACCTATATAACGGAATCTAGAAAATAAACTAGTAAACAAAAACTAAGAAATCCAACATTTTCATCAGCCAGTTATTCAATAGCTCAATAGCTGCTTCTCAAACGCTCGAGTTCCCTAGACAAAAGGCTGAGATTCTGCACGAACTTTCTTGTGAAAAGCTAGGAAGGAAGGAGGTTGCAAAAAGCTCAGGCGAAAATGGGCTAATTGGGCTCTGTGTTTCAACAAGCACGTGAGTATGTATTGGGCCCTAGTGCGACCGTGCAGTGGCCCACTTGCAGTGTCCAGGCCCACCTGTCCAAACCAACAACTGGGGGAAGGCTTTTGACCACCTTTTCTGTAAAAAGGACGGTACTACATCGGTCAACTGTGGTCCATGGCTCCCTAATCCCTATGACTGAATGCCTCCAAATCTACCCTTTAACCCCTTCTGCGTATGACATGAACATATTT